GGTGGACATTCCATTCGGTAGCCCTTCTCCAGCATGTGATACACATCCGTTAAGTCGACGCCAGGATATGGAGACATACCATAGGTCGCTATCTCCCAAAGTAAGATTCCAAATGCCCAAACATCAGACTACAAATATGATATAAACAATTAAGTACAATGTATATGATAAAGTAACTAATAAAAATGTTATAGTACCTTCGTAGAGAATTTGTTGTAAGCTAACCCTTCCGGAGCAGTCCATTTTATAGGGAACTTCGCTCCAGCGTGAGCCGTGTAGGTGTCATCTCTCATCAACCGGGCCAAGCCAAAGTCAGCGACCTTCACCAGATGATTTTCACCGACTAGGCAGTTTCGAGCCGCTAGATCTCTGTTTCGAAAGTCGCGATGTTAACGCGAGCTCGTTTCTTAAGAGGAGAGGACGATGAAATTTAAAACATTTTTCCTAACTAATGCGTATCATTGTATTTCTTCAGTGATACTTGCGACGCTACGAATCGCTCCCTAAAAACAGCTACTTACAAGAAAAATATTTTGAGTGTAGCGATTGCGTTATGGCACAACCTACTTTTTTACTAATTACGGAAACTACACTATAATTCACGACATAGAAAAAATTAATTCCTTATGAAATGTATTATGTAAAAATATGGGCATATTACATCTTACATACTTATTAGACTTTATTAGTTCTTTCTTGGAAAAAAATATTTAAGTTACCCTCAGTAAAATTTTAAGTCCTTGATCTTCTGAAATGAATACGCAAATGTTTTGTAATAATTATAACGTTTCATAATTTTACATCACAGGACAGCACCTAACAAAATTAAAATACTCACAAGTAAAATAATATGAAATAATATTAAAGATACACTGTCAAAATAATTCATTAATAAAATTTGTTTAGTTTTTGTAGCTATTTATAATGGAATACAGTATCAGCAATAAAAAAAAAGGATCATCAATTTTGTTAATTCATACCTGTGAATAAAATTTCTACTTTCCAGATAACTCATCCCGCTAGCAATCTGCGTGGCCATATGCATCAAAACGACGGCATTGATTTGATGCTTGCTCTCGTTCCGCAAATAGTCCAGCAGATTCCCTTTGCTCATGAACTCTGTAATGATGTAAAATGGTGGTTCCCGAGTACATACACCTAATAACTGAACTAGATTCCTGTGTTTCATCTCCTTCATGATTGCAGCCTCCTCCAGAAAGTCTTTTAGAGCCATTGTATCTTCCTGCAAAATGTGTAAGTTTCACAAATATAAAATAATAAACAATTATCATTTGTATCACGATATAAAACTGACCTTCAACGTTTTTACAGCGACGGTCATGTTATATCTCTTCCATACCGCTTCATAAACGTCCCCATATTGTCCTCCACCTAATTTATGCCTCATGACTATATCTGTCCTATTAATCTCCCACTCATCTGGTTCTGCATTTATAATTATTATTACACATTTTACTACCTTAATACAGCTTTAAAAGTTATTGAGCGTTACATAATAAATTTTTATAACATACCCGGACTAAGCGGAAAAACAGTCGGTTTGTTATGCTTTGGTGCAGGATAAAGTAGCTGTGTGATTAAGCCATCAGCAAGCATTGAATGATGATGTACCAATTCTGCCAGAGTATTAAATTTGCTTTCTGTTGTGACAAACATCTAAAATATTAAATATTTTCATTATATAATTATGTTACATTATCTTACTGCTAATATACAGTATATGTGTATACTGTACCTTTCCTTCACTATCTTCATTGATCCTGTAATGATAGACTCTACCCTCATATCTCAGAGAAATACTGCGTTGCCCTGGGCTGCTTTCTGACTCACGAACCAGAAAGCTTCCATTTATACCAGAACTTAAGAGATACTCAGCAGCATTCCTGGATATCCTTCCATGATACCATGAATGCTTTTCCAAGGAATTTACAGGGGTGACATAATTTGAAGGAACCCACCCCACTTGACCAGTACTTGAATGAGCTTCACACCATTCTCCACTTTTATTATAACTTAGGATACGAACTTGCTCTCCTAAACCCAAATTATTTATAACATATAACACAATTCTTTTATATAATATAATAGATATTATAAGCATTTACCTTTTTTAAGACTAAGTTGGTTTTCTCCACCTGCTTGAAAATCATATAGAGCAACAAACAGTTGCGGGTCATCTTCCTCCTGTGCTAATAAGTTTTCCTTACTTGTCCATCTATATGAATAATTCAAATTGTAGCTTGAATGAATTTTTATATGTTCAGGTTTGAAATATATTTATGTACTTTTTATTGTAAGACTTTAAATAATAAGTTACAAAGTATTATCAGTGACTTATAAACTATGTGAAAGTACAAAACCATGTATCATATAACATTAAGAAACTGATGATTTGAAAATGATCAATCAGTGAAAATATAATACAGTTAAACTTATGAACATAGTGGCTACAGACAGGATAAATACAATTAAAATTAACCTGTTTGCAGCTTCCAAAAGCCCTGTAGATGAAACACCAGCATGTTGTTGAATATTCACTTGCTGTGAAATTGGTTGGATGGCAGAGCCACTAGGAGGATCACCATCAGGTAATGCCGGAATGTGAGGTAGTGGTCTGCTTTGTAAAAGAGCTTCTGCGCAACATCATAATACTATTGTACACACATGACCATAAATTGGAAAAAAAATCTAACATTCATATATCCAAGGTACAAAAATTGATCCATATTATATATTATTAAACTTATAGATGTATTTAACAGTTCAACATCTTAAAGTAACATATTTGATCTTACAATTTTGTATTATTTCTTCAACTGATTTATTAACAATATTATAACTGAGTGTTAATTATCATTCATTAGTTTAATAAAGAAGTTCTATAAACACATATACATGCAAGTACATAAATGCAGAAATTATATAACCAAAGTATTGCTTTTAATATAGTGTTTTTTCCATGTCATTTCTTGCAGCCTATTTTTTTCATAAACATTTATATTTGAAATCTGTTTCAGTGCAAACAAATTATATGATTGCAAGAGAGGGAAGGAAAGTGTGAGGGAGAGGATTGAAAAAAGGGGCGGAAGTAAGAAAGAAATAGAAGATAAAAAGCGAAAGAGTAGGAAAATAAGAGAAGGAAATTACCGCTGTGTTCTGTAAATATATTGGAACCAACAAGACGGGACTCTTTAAGGTTCCTTGGCTGTTTGCGCGTCTGTCGCGCAGTAGAGCCGGCAGGAACAATTCTCTCCTTAGTCTGTTGAGCACCCATAGTTCCCGAATTGGCATGCCCTTAGATTAATCCCGGCCGCAAAATTGCCGGGGCCGTTCACTCGGCACATTCACTTTCGGCCTGACAGTCTAACTCCAGATCGCATCTCTCGCCGGCCTCTGCCGACGACGAGAATATCTGAGATTCACCAATCTCACCGCAACGCGAACCTTCTATTCACATTTTTGACCAGCACTCAAGATCGACATTCTCGCCATGTTTGACAGTTTCGACGTCGACGATAGCTCGATTCGTACCGTACTGTTTACTACTTTTACTTACCACCAAAGTCATTGCCATTTCCTCATTGGACAACCAATTTCTTGGACAAAGATTTCATTGGTCAACTGCTTTGTTAACCGATAACATTGTCCAGATCTTACACTCTTTATTCTTTACAACATCCAGAACAAACCATTACAATTTGACAGCCTCGCTTGCAAGAGTAGAAATAATAAGTTCCAATAATTGCAGGTGCGTTTTTGAACAGGAAATCCCAAACCACGTACTATGGGACTGTCCGAAATATCTGACGACTAGGAAGAAAATGATCAAAAATTAAATAAAGGTTTTCAAAATATAAAGACAATTGAACCGTTTCTTCAAGGTCCTAACATAGTAAAATAGAATATAAGGCGAGACACGATTGTGAGAATCTAGTGTTGTTATACGGATATGAGATTATGTATATTATGAACGTAAATATATGCACACCGCATATAAGGCTTATGGACCTATGTAGGTTTGAAGCTGTTTTTTATTTTTAATAAAAAAAAATGTTGGGGTGTTTGGGATCCCAAAACCATGACGCCTCGAAAACAAAGTGACTTAGTCCAGTGATTACAAATGTAGGAAACTTTGTTTTCGAGAGGTCATGATTTATGGGGCCTCAGACACCCTCAGATGAGATTAGATTTATATGCAGAGAGCAAAGCCAGTATAATAATCGTACCTGTTTTACCAGTCACTCTTTTACCGCACCTCAAATTTACCACCCCTTTTATTTATTATTTTATCCTTCCTTATGATCCACGTCTCATTTTTTCCAGTTATTTATTATTTTATCCTACCTTATGTACTAAAGTTCATCCTTTTCAGTTATTAATTATTTTATTCTCCATCATGGGTCAAACCCACGCTTCCTAATTATTTATTACAAGATCTAAAAATTATTAAAATAATTATTTGACAAATTTATATTTTGTCGACCACTGCGCCATCTATACAAAAGTGGCGGAAACTACTCAACAAATTACCGACTTATCGACTGAACTTTTGACAGTCGGTTATCGACCCTTCGGCAGTCGGTAAGTTAACGAATAGTTTGCGCCGCTTTTATATAGATGGCGCAATGGCCGATGCTTGGGGTGCTAAGGACCCCGAAGCATGGGTGATACTCTTTGTATACCGACATCATTAATACTCTTTAATTGACTTTGTAATCGTTAAATAATGAATCTTTAAGAAAGTTATAACATGATTTTCGAATAGAAATAGGTTTATTTTATGATTTAATACAGTTAAATATATTTATTACTATTTAGTAATTAAGTATAAGTAGATTATAATATTTTAACATTAAATTGCAAGTGCCCCGGTTTTGGAACACAGCCAACCCTTACAAAATACGTCGATGGCAGCGACGGCAGCGCGATATCGGAAACCCGAACTTCTTACGAATAATACGAGAAATCCCGAGTGCTACCGAAGCGATTTAGTGACGTCATGCTAAAGCAGAAGAGATAAGAAAGTCAAAAAAGTGAAGTTCTGTTTTCTAATATATTCTCAACTTTTATAGGCACCTTTGTTCGCTACGTAATTTTGAAAAATGTCGTACGCATACCTGTTCAAATACATCATCATTGGGGATACAGGTAACTACATGATACTCCTCAAGAAGCAAATAAATAATTCGCAAATTCTGCACTACGTCGACCGTGACAGAACCCATTGTTTTCGTTTCTTTACATGATAATATTTTTGATTCATAAACTTTAAAGTAATTCTAAACTTTGTAATGCGCATATTTCTCAGTAGCGTTTTGTATTATTAATTAAATGTTTCTTAATGTCTTAATTGTGTACAGTTTTCTTTATATCATATTTTTGTCAACTTGGAAGATGTCGTATTCGTTTATTTACGCTAAAGATAGGTTTCACAGCAAGTTTATCGCCTTATTGTTTATTGTTTTGTATAGAATAAGCGGATATTAATATTAATTAAATTGTTAACCATTGCTCTTATGAATTTTTTATATAAATATTACTGTAACATTATTGTTTTTTGTTTGATAGCATATATTGTTGCAATTAATTCTTGATCTTTTGTTTGTTAATATCAAGTTAATGTTTCATTTGAAATGTATACTGTATATTTATTTATTGTAAAATTATATATTGATAATTAATTGTTACAAAAGTAACTATTCTTTAAATAGGGGTTGGCAAATCTTGTCTTCTTCTCCAATTTACGGATAAAAGATTCCAGCCTGTTCATGATCTAACAATAGGTGTAGAGTTTGGTGCTCGTATGATAACAATTGATGGAAAGCAAATCAAGCTTCAAATTTGGGATACTGTAATTATTTATCTTTTACACGCTTGCTTGTTAATTTTTGTATAAACTTTTAAAAGATAACAGATGTTTGATGTAATTATATTGAATTCATAGGCAGGTCAAGAGGCATTCCGTTCTATTACAAGATCATATTACCGTGGAGCAGCAGGAGCTTTATTAGTATATGATATCACACGTAGGGAAACATTTAATCATTTGACAACTTGGTTAGAAGATGCAAGACAACACTCAAATTCTAACATGGTGATCATGTTAATTGGTAATAAAAGTGATCTGGATAATAGAAGGGAAGTAAAGAGAGAAGAAGGTGAGACCTTTGCAAGAGAACATGGGCTAGTTTTTATGGAAACCAGTGCAAAGACAGCAACCAATGTAGAGGAAGCATTTATCAATACAGCAAAAGTAATTTATGAAAAAATTCAGGAAGGTGTATTTGACATAAACAATGAGGTAAAATCAAAGTTACTCAGACTATGACACAGCTATAATATTATAACATTTTTAAAATTATTATCAATAAATGCATTCGAAATATTTTCAGGCAAATGGTATCAAGATTGGACCACAACATTCACCCACAAGTCCTGGAGGTTTAGCAGGTACTGGTGGACAAGGAAACACGCAGGGTGGTGGGTGCTGCTAGGGGCTGGGGGTTGCCTGTCCACCGCTTCATCCTTCTCCAATTTAAATTAATCTTTCTACTCCTGCTCCCCATTTTATTCTCAACCAATTACTTTGTATATTTGTTTGCGCATGTCGCATCATAAGGTAACAAGTGATTATTGGTGTATTTATTATTTAAAAGAAAAACGTATACACGTACTGAATAGGAATATTATAAGGTAAAATGTTATATATTGCTTAACTCATGAAATCTAATAAAGTTTTAATTTACAGATTATCATTGATGTAAACTGATTATTTTTAAATAATGTTTGTTACATCTCTTGTATATTTAATTCTTCTACAATATAATAACATTAGCACATTTTAATAGATTCGTAAAGTAGTTCAATCTTTTAATATAATATAGAATCAATTTTATTTTTTACATACTGTAGTAAAAAGAAATAGAACTTGTGTTATTAACTCAGCACTACATATAACTTTCACTTATTCGTACTTAAAATCGTTTAATTTCTATCGCGATGGATATAAAAAAGACCATGAAAAATTAATTACATATTGGATACTGATTGAGCGGTAAAGGATAGGCACTTCTATTCGATGTTTTGTATTTGTTCACATTGTATATTGTATGTATTGTGCACTGATCTTTCAAATTTGATTTACTTTAATACTAAATCATAGTTACTAACATATGAATCAAAGTCGTTTGTCGAAGATATGGTTTACACTTGACTACCTAAGGCGACACATGTATATGAATGTATCAATGTATGAAATTATGAATATATAAAACGTATAAATCAATTTTATCCTAAGGCCTATTTAACCAAATAATCGTAATTACTTAATTGTGATTGGTATTGTTATTTCTGGTATACTATATTACAAAGATATCTGATTTACATGAAGTGAATTTTTATTTTCAAATAAAACGAAGGAAACTTCTTCGATTTTACATTTGTAGCCAATAGTAGTGATGCCAATCAAAAATATAGAAAATATGTACTTCGTCAACTTCAATTTAAATGAAATACACATTTACATGTATATTTGTTAGTTTTATAATAAGTTTAATATTACTAAATTTGTTCAATGTAAAACGATCTGATTAAACGTAAAAAATATGCTATCAAAGTAGTGCATTTCGTCGTATCTATCGAAATGATAGCTGGTAAACAAATATATATCGATATAAATGATATTTTATAAAGGAAACTAAAAAATAAACTTTGTTTAGTTAATGTAAATTGATTTTATACTTATTGCAATTACAATACGTAAAAAATACTATAATACTATGTCAGATGGATGTAAAAATTAAAACACTTTTAATCATTTGTTTTCAGATAAATAGAAAAATAGATTTACATTAATTTTTACATCCGAATGATACTGCACTTTACACTGTGCTGTTTTATTGTAACAATTAGTGGATATACTTTGGTTTGCAAAGGAATGCGATCTATTACAATTTATTAATTGTTATTGTCAAGTGTTAGAAATGTGTGGTTTACTTTATATCTGTACATAAATATGATCCATGTTTTTAATTGAAATATATACGTGCACATGATTTGCCTTTTTTATTTTTGAATAGTCTATTTGAAAGCAGTTTAATTATTTATTTAATAGTCTATTTTTAATTGTTTGGGCATTTTAAAATTGTTCGTAGCAAATTTGACGAAAATTTTTTAAAAGAACTTGGAAAGTGCATGAAAGATTAGGAGTGTCATGCCGGAACAAGATAAGTAATACAAAAATATAATGAGCTGATAATGAAACTACTTGAGAGAGGAAGTAAAACAAAATAATAAAACCAATGGTGTTCAACAAATGATAGGAGTACTAATACAAAATGTTAAAATACATGTCAGTTTGAAAGCAAGTTTACGCGCCAACAAGTTTCATAAATCGACTACGCCATAGGAAGAGCGCTCGAAATAGCGGTTTGATACTGAATGTACTTCTATTGCTATATTCCAAGTGTTTCACTGTGTTCTGTTGCACGCGCGGACAGGAAGCACGTATTTATTTCGTATTTGGTACGAAATTTTGATTTGTATATTAACAACGCTATCAGTCGTTACTCGATTTTCTTATCAATATCTTCGACATTTATCCGCCGTATCAGATATCGTATCGTTGAATTCGTATAACAGTGCATCGATATATAGTGTTTAATATCGTTTTTAATTGAAAAGATAGTCCTCTGAATAATTGATCTGTCATTTGCCGCACTTTCCAAAATCGAACGTGTTAATATTTAAAAAGTAATAGCAGTGTGCATTTATAAAGTTTCCGTCAAACGATAGCCGGATCTATGCTGCGTAATCTTCTAACAATTCATGTATTGACGGAGGCATGAATTTAACACAATCGTGTCTCTTTTTAACGAAGCACACGTAATCTGGATTTCATGTGTAAACAGTTCGAAGAATTTCAGGTATGTGACATGAATTTTAATATTAAACTACTTGTTCCACCTACGGAATAAATTGAACATGTAGATATCTTCTAAACGAACATAAGGTTATACTCTCTATATACTTGAGTACAAAAATACCGTATAAGTGCATGTTGATTTTAAATGATACATTTCAAACTATTACATTTAAACGTGTGCGATAAAAATGCGATCCTTGACCTCGTTTCAACTTGATTCATCGTTTCCATATCTTGTACAGGTTAGGAAATGTGTTTATTATTGTATCGATACAATTTGAAATGTTCGATTGTTGACAGTGCTTTAAAATTTGGAAAATTTATAAAATTATCATTTAGTATAGACGCTTATTCATATCAATGGCGTTTAACATGAATATCATTCATAGTATCATGTTGTATATGTGCTTCTAAGAAAAATCTGACATCACCTAACAGGAAGCCTTCTTGTTTCTTTTACACGTAAACGCATATGTATATTTGATCGTGTGCACTACTTCTTATAGAGATCATTTGTAAAAAGAATTGTAATTTGTTTATCAATGTAATTCTTTAAATTCTGAAATTATTTAGTATACTTATGAATAAATATATTTATAAATAAATTAATTAAAAAAAAGAAATTATAAATTAATTTATAAATATGATTTTATATTACTTATATTATATATGTAAATTGTGAATGTTTTATATTTTTGTAAATCTGTTACTTCATGTTAACTTTCATATTTCATATTCATCTATTTCTTTTATTACATATTTAAAAAGAAAAACACAAATTTAGTATCATTTAAAACAAGTGTATTTGATTAGATAATAGTAAGCACTGATTTAAGTAGTTGGAATGATCAAACTGTTGAAACAACTTGAAATTTAATCGCCCTGGTAAATCGATAAATAAAAAATTTGATCCATGATAATTCAATGATCAACAGAACAATTGTATGACAAGTTATATCTTGTCTTATTTTAAATAATTATCTAAACTATTATCATCTCTTAAAAATATGACCCTTAGTATCTTATTCATGACGACATTTTATTATTTTGTTATTGTTATTGAAGCGCGTTTTTAAATAAAACGCGGATAACTGATTATTCATGTTTTTAGTACTCTGATACCAGAGTCTTGTTTCATCGTTGTTGTGTCTTTCTATTACGGTAGTTATCTTTGTTTTCGCTGTAACAACTATATGTACAGGTCTTTGACTCATACTATAATGAACTACATCTTGCCTATTCATCCATACGCGCGGGTGCAACCAGTGGAATACTTTCTGAATGAACGTAACCGTATAGCGGCACTCTTTCTGGCACAGGCATCGTTAACTGTACCGGTGCGGTGACACCACTTGGGAGGGTTAATGAACATAAAAGACCCATCATTTGGACTTCCGAGATTGCACATTTCGAATATATGTATTACGGTTTTCATTTTTCCCGCAAGAAATTTGCAGATCAAACGTTTCGAAGCATCCAAGTCTGAAGAGGACCAATGATACCTATTGCTTTATTCAAGTCATGAATCAAAATTAAAAAATATTTTTATTTGGTAATAAAAATTGTGATACGGAGAATATCTTGACACCCATAAAATTTAAATACGTTGATTGCTATGAATTTTGTATAATAGTATGTTTGAATAATATTGGTATTATACTACTAATGATGTAAGGTTCCAAATTGAAAATTAACTGATGTTATACTTAATAATTAGTGTTTTAATATTCCATGTAGTCTCGCTACAGATGTTCATTTTCACTGCGGCAATTAAGGTGTTAATTGGCGAGGTACAATTTTTATTGCACATATGTTGAGGTGGATTAAATGTTATTAACGCTTTTAGTGCCGCAGTGAAAGTGGACACGTTTAGTCAGACAAATTGTAACTCTAATTGGTGGTTGCACCGGAAGAAAGCGCATTGCCCTTATTTTTTTATAAAAGTTAGATTTTTCTTTTCGAAAACACATCAAAATTAGGTATTCACTTTCTAGAGTATAATTTTTCATAATTAAACAGTTATGATTAGAAATTGAATTTAATTCTATGTACATTTAGAAGCAATTTCAAATCTGTTTACAAACATGCTTTCGCCTACTGGGAATATGATTTCTTGGAATATTTTACCAATAATATTACCCTTGTAGTTATTTAGAGCGGAAACTACTGGGAACAATTAATTTTTCATTTGGAGAAAGCTGTGTAAATCTAAGAATTATGAAATGTTCGTTTGCGAAACTTCATTAAAAACCGTACCGAGTTATTCATTTCATTTTCGAGAAGATAAAAATGGATTTCACTAGTCAACTTTTCCAGGCGATGCGGCACAACCGAACGATGTGGATCGCGTTCTTTTAACGCATCTCAAAGAGACCAATCGACAAATTACCGAACGATGATTTTTCATATGGACTGACCGTTGGGATTTCTATTTATACGTGTTTCGATTATCACTGCAGCTGTTGCACGCTTTTGTCACGATGAGTGTCGTTCCACTCACCGATAAACAACTTTATCAGCTGGTAAATGAATCTGTATGTTCTTGAAACACTTTTTTACCCGTTCCTTAGTTCAAATCGAGGGTCGCTTTCCAAGAAACTATGCCACACTTTCTAGTCTTTATTGCTCATTGTTGTGTAACGTTAAAAAAAAAAAAAAGGAGTAGAATTACCATTGAATTGTTTATATATATTTTTAGAGTGTCAGTATCGGGAAAGCTGTAAACCCTACAGAGACTCCTGTGAAAGAGAAACATGTGCGAAGTATCCTTTTAAAATATTTAATTTATAAATTAATTTCTCTTGAATGCGGTATATAAACTTAATAGAAATATAGGTGCGATTATAGGAACATATCAAGAGAAAAGTGGGATGATCTTTTGGATGTACATGTTGAAGCAACCAATTCAAGAAAATCAAATAGTAGCATGGAAATTTTGTCACGTTCTGCACAAAGTTCTGCGCGAGGGTCATCCGAAAGTAATTCCAGACTCTCAGCGTTATAGGGGTAAATTGGAGGATATTGGAAAATTATGGCAACACCTCCGAGAGGGTTACGGTCAACTGATCCAATTGTACATAAGGCTATTAATCACCAAATTAGATTTTCATAATCGAAATCCGCGTATACCGGGAAATCTTCAAGTAACTCCGGAGGAACTGGAATCCATCGGAGAGAATGATATTAACGTTTAGTAAGTTTACAATATTTTATTAATTATACAAAACAGGATCTACCTTGCTGATTAATAATGGGGTAATATCAAAAGTTTTATATCATTTAATTAGATAAATTTGAAGATTGTCACACCCCATGGAACCACCCTATACTTCTATGTCTATCTTCAAAACTAAAATTGATCTATGGTACACGTATATGAAATTATTCAGGACATTGATCTTTATACCACATGTTAAGGTCGTTGAAATCAGCGAGGTGTATCCTATTTTACATACGCACCCTACCTTCTTTAGAACCTCTAGAATTACTTTACAATTCTTCCAATGGTTTCTTACCGCTGTTTTATTATTTTCAGTTTCCAAATGTCGGTCGAGATGTTCGATTACATGGACGATATTTTGAATTTGCAACGTGCAGGTAGGTACGGAATGGATTGTTAATTATTATCAATTCAACAATCTTCCATTTCCCGACTTCGTTTCTTACACTTTTCACTGACAAATGCTTAGCATAAATTGTCAACCTTTGATCAGATATGAAAGAGCAGCGTGTCAGTTTAACTTTCGCTATTTAGACGTAATTAATCTAGTAGAATCTCAGTTATGCAGATCAAACAGAACCAAGGCTGACCGGTTAAATCAAGATCTGTACGCTGAATTAAATGAACGTGGGTGTGATTGACCAATGTACAGGATGGTAATACCGCTATGCTTCATGAAATTTTGGCAAATTCATCTTTTCTATTCCATGCAATAAGATACTTTATGATACTCGATACGATTAAATCTGATCGTTCAAGATCCGTTCACTGTATCGTTTACTCCTAGTGTATCCATTTTATTAACCACTTCCCGAATTGAAAAACCTGTCTGGAAATTCTGATAATAATCATCGTTGGATTCACGGTCGTGTTAACTTATGTCGACGAAATGTTTCAGTTACCACTTCTTTGAAGAACACACCTTCGAACTCTATGACTGTCAGCGGACAGTGTCGACTGGCTCCGTTAATCCCGTGCGTCCTAGATGCATCACAGCTCTATGATTATTGTGTAAAAATTTTGTTCAAACTTCATAGTACTCTGCCCGCGGACACTTTAGCCGGTCACCGTGACAGATTTTCCAAACAGTTTCAAGAACTGAAGAAGTTCTATAATACTGTTAAACAGAGACAGTATTTTAAGCATCTTATAACAATACCTGCGTTACCTGAGGTGAGATTCATTATTATATTTCATTATAGAAATGCATCAATTACATGCGTTCATTTATGTGTGTTTTAGAATCCACCAAATTTTTTGATACAATCTGAATTAAGAACTTATGTTACACCTATAGTAGTATTACCACCAGAAGAATCCTTCGCTGATTCTGAAACGGTTGTTGATAGTCTGATAGACACTTCTGACACAAGTTCATTGCCAGGGGATCAACTAGATTCCACGCGAAACGGATCGATTTCACCCGATGCAATCGCGGAAAGGTGATTGCAAAATGAATTCTAAATAAGAATTTATGTTAACACAGCCGTTTGGGTTTCAGGGAAAGTCTTATTGATCATTTGCAACAAGAGAACAATCGTCAGAGGCAAGAATTGCACCGTGTACTGACTGATCATCAGCAAATTGTAGGAGAGCTGCATAGTCGTGTCGCGCAGCTTGAATCAGATTTACTTGTTAAAGTAAAGAATAATTGAATTTTATGCAAAGATTGATAAGAAATATAATTTTTAATATACATTTATTTTCTTCAGTGCCATGAGATGGAACAGGAGAAACAAGTCAATCAGGATTCAGTTAAGCAGAAAGCGGAAATGATGGTGAAGGTTCATGAAAGTGATGGTTAGTACCTATTAGTTTTATTTTTGTTAAATATTGTCATCGTTTTATTTAAAAAAATTTTTTTTTTTCAGAAAAGTATAAGATCTTGGAGGAAAAGTTTCACAAATTGAAGGATGTCTATGCAAAATTAAGAGAAGAACATATCAGTTTAATTAGAAAGGTGGGATCATCTTAAGTCTCAAAATGTACAGTGAAAAATATTCGATTATTAAATTCCTTTTGTACAATAGAAAGCGGAAGTTGACAAGCAGCTTGGAATTTTAAAAATGTCTCAAGAACAATCTGAACGTCGAACAGTGGAAGCGGAACGTCGTCTCGAAGAATTATTACAAGGCCAAGCTTTAACACAACAGGAAGCGAAAAAGGCCGTCGAAGCGCAGCAAGATTTGGACGATGTTAAGCAACAACTCAATGGCGTAAAAACAGAAAACTTAGTTAATAACAATTTTCTTCCTCTTCAATTTACCTTAATGCTTTATTGTTATTTTATTTTGGAAATATTTTAGGCGTTGATTGCCAAAAATGATTTTATAACATCTGAGAAAACAGCCCTGGAAGGAGATTTACATGATTTATTAGCGCAGAAGGAAGAGTTAGATTTAAAAATAGAGAAATTAGAGGTTGAAACTGAGCGATGTCGTAATGAAATGAACACTCATGCTGACACTGTGCTGCATGAATTGTTGCGTAAGTGTTTCAATTAAATCAATAATAAAATACTGGACGACACGTGGTCGCTTATCTAAGGTAAAATGAAACGTCTATTCCAGTTAATTGTATATGTGAAGCGGAACATATAATGCAGTATTCGCTGCATGCCATTGATAATCCAGCAATGTCGGATCTGACTTGTACACCTCAGTACCTTGAAAGATTAGAAGAACCGACATCGAAATCACTGGATGCTTTGGATGTAGCGTATACTGGTTTCGTATGTGACACAACGAAAGGGAAGGCGCTCATAACAAGTGCAATACAGGTCGCTTACACTTTGGGACTTTATATAATCCACGCGAAATCTACGTCGAATACGTCTATTGATATCGCGTTGGGCGATAGTAAGTTGCGAATAAAAAGTCAGAAAAGATTATTGAAAAAAAAAGCATTCCTATTATTTTTAATTTTACTCTACCGTAGAATTGACTGATGAGTGTAAACAGTTAGGGACACAAACGTTAACAATGTTTAACCATGTGAAAGAAAAGTCACCCACAACCGTGGGTCAAATCAACGAAGTAAAACAACATTTTAAAAAAATATGCGAACTTGCCGCCACATTGTCGAATGCCCAAGGTAATGTAGAAGTTATAGGGAGTTTAGTGGAACAAGAATTGTTAGGTATGGATAAAGCGATAGAGGAAGCTGCTAATAGAATACGGGTAATTATTACGTTATACGATACTAATTAATATATGCTGCTCTTCAGTATAATTAATATCTGTCACAATGTTAAATTAGGACATGTTAGAGAAATCCCGTGCGGCGGATTCAGGATTGAAATTAGAAGTAAACGAGAAAATTTTAGACTCCTGTACAGAATTAATGAAATGTATAAGAACGTTAGTTAAAAAGTCACGATTACTACAGGCAGAAATCGTTGAACAAGGAAAGGTAACTTACTTCCTTTTATTATTACCAAAGTTATTAATTTGTAGAATATAAACATGTATGTTTAATTATAGGGTACAGCCTCTGCAACTGAATTCTATAAACGTAATCATCAATGGTCTGAAGGGCTGATATCAGCAGCGAAAGCGGTAGCAATGGGTGCTAATCTTTTATTGTAAGTATAGATGCTTTTTTGTAATTAACCATTTATTTACAAAACTTGTTTACGCTTATAGGGAAGCTGCTGATAAAGTTGTTGCCGGAAATGGCAAATTTGAACAATTAGTAGTAGCGTCACAAGGAATTGCAGCGACCACAGCCCAGCTAGTAGTCGCGAGCAGAGTAAAAGCAAATAGAAATAGCAATAATTTAGCTGCACTTTCTGAAGCATCGAGGGATGTTACGCAAGCAACAGGAAGCGTTGTTGCAACTGCTAAAAATTGTAGTCAACTTGTTGAAGAAAATGGTAAATATCGTTACTATTGCAAACTTTTACTAATAAGGATAAGTAAATTTCAGATAAGAAAATTTAAAATATTATTTAATATTTCATAGATGACTTAGATGTTTCTGGCTTGACCCTACATCAGGCTAAACGACTAGAAATGGAGGCCAAAGTTCGCGTATTAGAACTAGAACAGGCTTTGGAGACTGAAAGATTACGCTTAGCTGCTTTACGTCGCTATCATTACCAACTAGAAGGCGAGAGAGAATGATGGGTAAGTAATATTAAGAAATAAATAAATCATAAATTATTTCAAAAATTAAATAATTATATTCTAGTGAGTCTTTTTCAGATTTTTATTGAAGTCTATGTGAAGTTCACGTTAACCACAGAATTTCTCATCAATATCAAACAGTATTGAAAGAAACGTTTACAAATGGAAAGTAAATGATTAAATTTCACTATAAAATAATATATTACAGAAAAGAAACTCTATTTGGGTTGTCCAAAATGAATTATTGTAATATTTGCATGTTTAATGTTTAATAAAGACAATTTTATTCCTTTTTAATGATAATTGATAATAATTTTAATGATTTCCGGGACCCCCTGTGGCTCGGGGGGATTAGAATACGGCCACGGTATACCCTGCCTGTCGTAAAAGGCGACTAAAAGGGGGTTGTAATGGAGCGAGGGAGACAGTATGATGTTTACGTAAGGATATAAAACAAAAAGTACGGCGCGAATGAGAAGAGATTTGAAAAATGGCGCGTATACGCAGAAATGGGATATGGTTCGGGTTTTCCCGCGCATGGGATGGGTTTTCCCGCGCTTGGGATGGTTTTCCTGCGCATGCGCGAGAAACGGCGTCCTTTTTGCGTATCTTGGCGTCCCTTTTGCGTATCTCGGCGTTTATGCGCGTGGTTGATAATTTTCGGTGGGTTAAATGGGGAAACTTGAAGTGAAGTGGGAGGATTTTCTTATAATGGATCCATGTTAATGAGGCCCATTAGAAATTTATAGGAAATTAACTTTCCGACAAGGTTGCGCGTTCATATTAGAGGACGCCACACTAGCAAATGCCTACAGTCAACCGCTACAATGAGCTCATCAGTCAGTCGTCGTACCAAGTGAGAAAATTTATTAATATTGTCTAAATTATTTCTAATTTCTTCATTCCTTATCAGTAACTTGTTAATTCAAGTCTGAAATGCTTATAAGAATTCATGTATTAGAATTAGAACATTAAGTTTCGTTAAATGGTAGACTGTTTAAGGTTACGTCTACCGTAAATTCCGATTAATTTGCATTAAAATGAAAACATAAATGTTAATTCTTTATGCAGTCTAAAGATATCAGCAGGAGCCTTAGTATGCGAGGAAAGTATTTTAAAGGGAGACATCACTATTGGGCCAAAAACTGTGATACACCCAAGAGCAAGTATCATTGCAGAAGCTGGTCCAATTATCATCGGCGAAGGGAATATTATTGAGGAAATGGCAACTATAACAAATAGGTGAACTTTGAAAGTTAAAGTAAAATTGTTTATTTTCTTCATTTTGCTAACTGAGATGTTTGTTAAAGATTACCAGCAGATGCTCCAGAATTAACAACAGTTCGAGTGCAAATAATAGGTAATTATAATGTATTTGAAACAGATTGTACCTGTGAGGCATTTAAAGTTGGAGACAACAATATTCTGGAAAGCAAAGGTAATTATAAGATGAAATACTAATAATAATAATATAGTTTATTCCTATTGTGGGGTACAAACACGGACCTCCACTCCGCTTACAAACTCCACCTTCCCATAAGGTGTTTTCTTGTCTCTAAAAACCTCTAATGAGAGAGAGAAGGTGCACACAGTTCATTTACTCCTCACACATTCACTCTCCGGACCCTCGTTTCCGCTGCTCGTCCTTTTTCTCATTTCTTCCACTCTATAACATGAAATACTATGTTAAGTATTCATTATTTATGTATTTCATTAGAGTTGTATCCTTGTTCATAGCACATGTTGCTCGTGAAGTTGAGCTAACAAATGGTTGTGTTATTGGAGCATCATGCTCGTTAACAGAATCAGAAACAATTCCCGAAAATACCATAGTTTATGGTAGCCAATGTCAACGCAGGGAGATGTATGATAAACCATTTGTAAGTTTTTGCCGAGTTCCATTTCATATGGAAAAGTGATAATTTCAAGTGATAAGTGTGTAACACTATATAATCTCGAACATTTTCCTTCAGCCTCAAATAGGTCAGTTGGAATTTTTATTAAAAATCCTACCAAATTATCACCATCTTCGTAAGCCTAATGTAAAAGCAACTAAAAGTGAAGGGGGCTCATAATTTTTATTTAGTCAGTTAACTGACTGCTGTGAAATTTATTTACGAACATGATAAATTAACAAATACTAATAATTTCGTATTTGAAAAGATATTTAATAAAACATACATAAGTTAAATAGACTAAGAAGTTATTAAAAGTGCATTATAGTTACGTTTTTTTTTTTATTTAATTTATATACAATGTAGAAAAGAATTCTTCCTATTTAATAAATTGCTTACATTTACAATTAAGACTATATTTTATCGTTAGATAAAATAATCTCGGCCTTAATTTAATGTAAATTTTAAGGTAACTGCTGTAATAATTATTTTGTACCATATTGTTCAATAAATAAAATAAAAGCTGCAGTTATAGACTGCCATCGATCATGTCCACTCGCGAACTCGTAGTTACGGCTTCTGATAGTAGAGGACACAGCCATCACTGAAATTAACTTGGTGACTAAATTGTTACCAATCTACTTATTTATTATTATTATTATAATTAGTAACACTCACCCACAATTTAATAAGAAATCCCACCGTTATAAAACCACTTACAGCTCCCAATATTACAAGCTGTTCTGTTTTTTTTTTCAAATATGGGAATTGTGTATCTTGTAGGGTGTCAATGGAAGCGTATTTTAATTCTCTACAAGAAAGTATTAACGCACTTGGGTCGAAAATTCATCGGTTGAAAAGATATCCCTGGGAGAGACAGGGTGAGCCTAGCGGTCTCTCCCAGGGATAACTTTTCAACTAATAAATTTTCGACCCACGTACCTCAGTAATTTTTCATAGAGAATAACAAGACGCAGAATTTGGCCCGAAAAGAATTTCAAAATTCCCAAAAAAATTATTCTAAGATCTACGCCAAAATTTCAAATGATTTCTACCGAGGCAATTTGCAATATTTTGAAACTAAAATATCATTTTAATGTTTCATATATTTGTTTGATACTGGCAACAATATCATCCCCTGAAGGATGAAATCGTTGGAACGAGAAACGGTCGCAAATCTGTGCACGTTTGCGATGCGACAAGTTAATGTAACTTGATGTTTCTCCTTCTCTTCGTTCTTCTCCGAGCTAACTCTCCGGAGAATCCAGCGGCACAATACTAAACGCTACACCTATGAATATGAATTAGCGTCTCGCCGAGGGGGTTGGATGCGAACCATTTACCGTTTCCGTCAGCTTAACCGCGCACCGCAGTGGCTCTCAATGCGACATCCATTTAAGCCGCAAATGTGCAAATCGTGTAGCCACGTAATTTATTCGAATCGCTTCATCAAATATACATCGATAAAATTTCCTAGAAAATTCAGGAAGAATCATGCCAAACACGGGTCATAACAATTTCTCAAGATTGCGATGAAATACAAGGTGTTTCATTCAGATCTAATAATGATAAGAAGAAGGGATGCTTCAGAAATAAATGAAAATCAAAGTGGAAACGAAGCGAACAAATGTTCAAGCGATAGTTTCTTGAAGAGATGATACATAAAAGGGAGACACGGTTAAAAGCCGCGAGTGCCGCTTTATTTTAATGATCGCAACCCCCTTCAACGCAACTCTTGTCGCGGAAAGTGGTGACCCGAGAGAGCTGTCATATTTTGACGTCCGCAACGGGCGTTCTGGCCTAGAAGGGGAGACGAGAAGAAAAGAGATTATTTTTCGTCGCGCTGGGAGAAGTCAGAAATCAGTACGAAAGCGAACAACGATGAGGGGAAACCCTTAATGGCTGGCAAGCAGAATTCGAGCGAGTTTTTCTTATTCGACAAATGATTTAATAAATTTCTTTTAACATAAAAAAATAAATACAGCTAACTTTCAAGAAAGAATGATTAATGTCATCTACAGAACTGCCCCAGAGTGAAATCAATACCGTTCTACTATCAAGTATCAAAAATAAAATTCACCTCATCGCAGACGAATAAATCCACTTCATTTCGCGAGTACGGTAACAAAATTTTCCCTTCGTTAATCCACGAAACGGCGGCGAATCCGGATCAAATTAAATCGTACCATCGCATCCACGTCAGAAGTCTCGAAATGGTTACGGTTTAACGAACGACGAGGTGGATAGATGGTCTCAGGGGTAGGTTTCTCGATGATCGGCCGTCCATCAAGAACGTAAACGCGATCGTCAACAGTTGCGTTGAGCAACACTCTTCTCGCCCTCGCTTTTAGACTCGCGGACTGAAATTGACGTCCGCAGACACGGGCACCGCTTTGTCGAGCGGCAAACGAGAGTGACGAGCGTTGCGAATCTCCACGGCTCGCTTAACGTTTCCATTGTGAAGCCGGCCGGCAGAAGACGAAGGGCGAAAAATGTCATGTACGTCGGCGGGACCGCGCGTAGAATTAATTCGGTACCGCAGCAGTCTGACAGGGATTCGGTAATTGCCGGAGAGAGACGCTGATTTCTGCCGAATTATGGCGATACGCGTCTCCGTCGGATTTCGGTAGATATCGGGGGTGGACATTAACACCTTACTAATCAGTTGGAAAAATTTGGAATAATTAAATCTGAGGATCTTCCATCTTTTATGGAACAGAGAGGATATACTTTACAATGAATAGAATGAGAAATATGACCTCTTAAGGATGGTAATAATTAAGAGATAATTAAAAGAACCACAGCCCAGAATTGTAATTATCTTTGGAATTATAATAACTTTCATTTGCCCTGTGAAGAATTAAACTTTTAACCATGATCCATCTAAAGAAACCAATCAACAATTGCAAAAGAAATGCATCTATAATCGCAAAGCAGCTCGAGCAACGATGACTGCGATACAACTGATGATTTAACTCGAGTTAGCGGTCCAATCATCCGATGCTTGTCAACCCTGTGTATCTGTACACAGTGTCATCGAGAAGGATCTCTCGGCTGATCAGGATAGCAGCAATAGAGATAAACGATTCAATACGCGACAATGAATAATACTCGAGCAACGGTTAAACGCAGCAGCGGATCGGATCGGGTCCGCCCACGAGGCTGTCCGAAGGGAAACCACCCGTAAAATCCAAAAGGGGTGCAGTGAAGCGGGAGCGGCAGGGGGCGCCAGGCGACTCTGTGACGCGATTATGCTAACGAAGTTATTCCATTGTAACGCTGTTTACAACGGCGCGCATTAAGGCTACACCGGAACAATGGCACCCCCTCTGCACCCACCTCCCCCCTGCGTACACAAGTCAGGGAATCCTCGAGGATCGCGCGGCCATTGTACGTTCTCTTTCGAAATGAAATAGATACTTGCCGATGGTAAACAGGAAAAAATGATGAATGCAAGAACAATTGTCGAGTTTCGTAAAAGTTTCTACGATCCAAATAATAATACAAGAGAGGTCTGATTTCCTTGTTTAATCGGCACAGAATAATAACTGAAAGTTATTCGTGTCGCAAGTGATTTGACAGCAATAATTTTTCTGCTAAATACCAATAAAACGTTTCTGTTGCCAAAACCATCGAAACACAATGAATACAAGGGGGATGGAAGGAGCCCCGACTACTTCACGCGTCTGGTTACACCCCACCGGGGCGCCACTTGACTCGTATTTAACTTTCAAATATATTTTATGCCCTTTGCATCTTAATACTTTCATGGATTCGCGATTCCTACTCCCTTCTTTGGATTCGCCTAACGCGCGTGTATTTTCGTTCCACCGAAACGTGCATGATTTTATATTACAAAGTGCCGCCACCCTCCAGAATCATAGCTATAAAACACCAGAAACACTATTCTACGGTCGCGTTGCTTTCAATCTTATCGTAGGACAAGTGTGTTTAATAAATGCATTAACGTCACAGTTTCTTGTTGAAATTCTTGATATTATCAAGATATACAGTTCACAATGATAAGATAGAAAATGTGTAAGAAGTTCACTTTTTCTATTTCTCTGTCAATTCTCTTCGACAGGATGTAATAATTTGTGGACTCTTGTTCTTCGATGACACTATGAATTCATCGTACCATCCCCTGTCAAAATTCGATTTCTTTCTGATAACAGGGAAACCCGTAAGATCAACGTGGCCGATTCGAGACACAAGAAACTCATGCTCGAACGGACCCAGCATTTTACGTGTTCATCGAAGCGTGGCAACGTTTCGACGGGATTATTTGTAGGATTCAGTCGTATACTCGACATTTCCGCCGAATCCTTTGTACCACTCACCCGTTACCGCATCGGATATTTTCGATACGTATTTAGGCTTGTTTTCGACAGCCGGATATTGATATATTATCTTCACTCGATCCTACTCTTCAAATAAGAAGCAACGAAAATATTACCCTATTATTAACAGTAACACGAATATGGATAACAAAATAAGATAATTGGAGAATTATGTAATTATCTATTCACATTGGAATTAGTGTCAGCTCGAAATGGAGCAGATCTTCGAAAAAATGCTCTCCTAAGATGTTCGTCTGTTTTTTCAACTTCTTTGACGTTCATCTTTTTTGAAGTACGCCGACGACATTCTTTCCTCTTGGTGTGATAACTTCTGATGGGAAAAAAGATAATTAGCCGGATAGACCAGCTGTGCTTGTTTTGGAGTAAACGCTGACATTAGCAGCATTCCCTAATTTTCACTTTTCAATTAATTTATTAGTACCAAGAGGACTACTAATTTACATAATTGATAAAGGAAAACGGAGGAAAAGAATGGGATTTCGTTAGAACCAGCGAGGAACATTAATTTTTACTCGACGGTTACATAAAGGAAAGAAAAAGAAGAGAGGCAAAGAAGAAATAGAACTTTCACAAATGTTCTTTCCTGCAAAACGTGTCACGCTTCACGACAGACAGAGGAACGCCTACGTGGACGAAGAAGAAGACGTCAGCGTACACACACGTGGAATCAGATAATCTTCCCGCTTCGTCCACGAACAGAAGCGAGTATGCATATGTGGTTTGACGACGGGGGAGCCGAGCAGGGACGTAGATGGCATTCCTCTAATTTGTCGGCTCGACTTTGTCGGCTAATCAATCGAATTCGTGATTACCATGCGTCGTGAGCGTTAACCATCGTGAGCTTCCATGGTTTTCATGCCGTCTATCATAGCTGAGAATGTGTAGGTGTGTATACCTCACACATGTGTACTCGTTAGGGCGGTACCATCGATGGTTTATGGATAATTTAACTGCTGGGTAAATTTATCGAACACTGAACCCAAAAGTTTCCAAATTTTTCAAATTGAAAATTATGAAAACTTTACGTGGACCCTGGTCATTATATATAATAATTAATTTAGATAATCAAGATCCTGTAGTATTATTTGAAGTATTAAATGATTAGTTAGCCTTGTCAGAAAATGTTTGGGGATCGGTATGATCGCAAATTTACGAGAACAAATTACTCGTTACAAATTACCAGAACAATTAAGGACAGATTAAATTCATTTTGACGGCTATTTGGAGTCAAGCGGTGAACGTTTTAAGTCTCGTACGAGCACACGTACTCAAACGATGTGTCGTACGTGCATTCACGCGGTCTGTCGGCAAGCAGATGCACGCATCGCCGCCTTCATTTCACGCATAATTGAAAACACGTCCCATTTAGCGCCGAGGACGTTCGCCACTTCACCACCGCGGTCTTCCTCCCAAGATAGCACCCGTTTAAGTCGTGTCCCGTACGATTAACGTGATTTAGACGCTGGCCGCCCGTTTAACGTCTCAACGACGATGCTGCGTACAATAATTTAAGCGGCATATTTCCGTGCATACTATCGCTTAGTAAACTCGTATACTTACGGTGCACTCGGGTGCATCGTCGGCTTCTGTCGATTAAAGATCAGCGTAGAATTTATTATTTGCATTTAATCTTGGGAAAATTTGGGAAGATCTTGAGGACAATCTAGTCCTCATGTAAAAAACATACGGGCATAAGGCGCCTGGTGGGTGTTTTATCCCACTCAGGTTGGCTTTTTCGGCCCAATATCAACAAAAGTCAAGTGTTGGGTCTTCCGGATCCGAACACAATGACAGTTTATCCATTCCCGTGGCTTCTGGGATATTATTTTAACCCTATGAAAATTTAAAGAAAATGAATTTCCAGTGAAATAAAATATCTTCTCGTTTGATCTCCGATTCGCGAAACTGTTCGATGACCCCTGAATTGCGCACCTCTGTCCTAAAATGTGTCATTTAAGCCAACTCGAACGTAGCAGCCAGGATCGACGTTAATGTACCGTGTCGCGATGCACGCCACGGAAACCCCAACGATTACGAGACTAGCAGTTCGTCGTGTGCATAATTCGTAATGTCCGGCCGGCGTAGCGACACGAAGGTGGGATTAGGTTTCGCGACAGGTATCGTCGCCTCCCTATTCACCGCGCACAATTTGTCCTCCCGGAGGAGGGTAACGCGCACGGTAGCTCGCTGGTTAATCCATTACCATGGGCACCGTGTACGCGCGCCGTCTCGCTTTTACACGACGCCCACCAATTTGCTAACCATCGATTTCTCTCCTCTCTAACACCCTTTCGCGAGCAACCCTCGTAGCTTCCGTAGCGAACGGAAATAATACAGTATACCGCGAATCGCGAATTCTAGACCCTTTCGAGGTGCTGCTATCTTTAGAAACGCAGCCGCGGCACCCGTGTCCCTTTTTCGACGGGACAAAGCCTCGTCCGTTTCGCGTTTCGCTTCTACGTTTGATGGATTCGAGTGTCTCGTGCTTGCTCGCCGCTGAAAAAAGCTCGTCCTCTTCGTGGAACTGGGTTTGAAGGGATTATGGATTCGAGAATCGTGGACGCTGCTCGAGGAATGGGAATATGGATGGGGTGAAATTGTGCATAACCAGAGACGTGCTAATTTTGTTTTTCTTCAAATATTTCTTACATCTTCTCCTCTTCGTTCCTGCTCTCAAATTTGAAAAATAAATATCAAGAAAATGAAAAAATTCAAGATTCTTGTTTTGAAGATATTTTTCAAATCTACATTTTAGTTCGCCTTCTTGTTTTTCAAAATTGACACAAACTTTCCTTGTAAATCATCGAGAACTACAAACACCCCGTTCGATCGTAAATCAAAAGAGCCCTCTGATGGCGACCCCTAAACGCGAGAGGGAGAAGGAAGAGAAATGCAGGAAAACAGGGAGGCGGAAGAGGAACGCGGAGAAGAACAAATTGTCCGGAGGAGATAAAAGAAAGAAAGAATCCTGGAGAAAATAAATCGTCGAATGCATACAGTACCATCCATAATTGTTCCATTTGAACTTTGACTTCAAAATACGAAGAATGATATAATTCTTATTAAAGTATGTCGCACTAAATATAGAGTTTTCTACTGTGACAAGCAAATATCCATAATGACTCGTATGCATTTACTACCTTAAGCACGTCTATCTTCTTCTATTCAATTTTCTTTTTCAATTCCTACCTACAGCAGCAGCAATAATTCTAAATGACACTGTACTTATTGTATCGTTCTCCTTCGTCGACGAAACAGCGAGTAATTAAAAGTTGTGCTGCTACGAGTGTCGCGGCACGCTTAAGAACCGAAGCGTTTAAGAGTCGACGATTCCGTTCACACGTGCGTAACGAAAGCTTGCGGGTCGCGGAACGACGCCTTCGCGTAGGAAAATAAAGAGAGGAAAGCGAACGGTTCGGTTCGCGAGACAAGATTTAGGGCCGTCTGAGCATTCGTGTCTGAATCTCCTTGCGCTTATTCCACTTGCTCCGTGGCAAGCAACGAGATTCTGCTCGAGAAAATCCGCACCTTGTAAAGTCGACGCGTGAAATGGGGGGAAAACGATGACAAGAATGAACGTTCCGTGAATTTCTGCTGAAGAAACACCCTTCGTGAGAACAATCGTCAGTTTCACGGTTCGTTCTTTCATGGTTACATCAGATTAGAGAAATCATTCGCTCAGAACACTTGAGACTCGTTTTAGATAATTTTATAAAACACAAGCAAAATATCATTTATGAATCGAAATTGTAAATTAAAAAATTTCAAAGTACTCGACTGTATCATAATTAGGTCCTTCGGTGAAAGCACCGATCGTTTCACAATTTTTATGTGCAACGCTTTCATGTTGCTTTACAACCCGTTAAGTGCTACTTTGTCAGACTCCGCGTCCGCCAGTAGATCCGGTCGATACTCATTTCCGTTTGGTCGTTACTCGAATAACTTTAGTCAAGACTGTTTCCTCGCACGATAAACTTCAACTGACAACGGTTCGTAAAGATGCTCATTCATAATGTTCAAAGGCTATCACAGAACATCTGGATGTAAAATAGTATATTGTTGAAGAGAGGAAAGAAAAGGAACAGTTGTAATAAAGCGATTATTTTTTGAAATTTTCTAAAGGTATTTACTTGCAACGAGCTCGAAGATACATGGCCTTGCGCTTTATATAACGACCAGCCGTTTAACTTTAGATCCTGTAAGGCTCAATTAGAGCCGTGTCGCGTTAACGAGTGCCGAAATAGCGTCACTATTAGCGTGATGTACCGATTAGCCAGCTTGGAAACGCCTACAAACAGAAGAAATGATCCATGGGTGTAACCTGCCACCCGAGGTTTTTTATGATGAACAAGAAATTATATGATATATAATTTTTCCCCTCTTTTTCTTGCGATTAAACACTAATAATAAAACGACAAAGTGGCTATGGATTTTTTCTCAATCTCTTAATTAAGAGATTACAAACTCTGTTTTGGCAAAATACTGAACTTGGTTAATAATTCCCCAAATTTTGGACTTTGGAGGGGCGCACTAAGACACGAGAAATTATCGAGCGTCCACTATACTGCGAGATTATTATTTTATTTCCATATTTAACCTTATCAGCACCAAAATAAACGTATTCTTCATTCTATTATTAAAAGAAAGCTGAAGAGAAGGTTCGAAAGTGCGCGACGGATGTTGCTTGTTAAGCGAGCGCAATCTCGATGACGCCGAGCGGATTGACAGCAAGAAGGATACATCATTATCCTGCAAGTGGATTGGCTCGCGCCAAGATCGAACGGATAAACTCGCTCGTTAAAGAAGCGTGATGCGGGGGTGGCACGGCGAGCTACCTAATGGGAAACACGTTGATCGCCGGCGTTCGCGAGTGAACGATAAAAATACATGGGACAAGCTTGGTGGGCTTATGGTAAACGTACGCAGCGCGTTGAAAGCGAGCTGGCTCGTTAACGCTGATCGCTTTGCATACTCGTTATGACGTAAATACACCCACGTGACCGATAGTGCATACCGGTCTAATAACCATGTCGATTATGTGCACAGGTTGATGCTCGTTCATTGGATGCAATTCTTTGTGAACATTAAATTGCTGGTTAAAAATATTGGGTGGAAAAATTAATTTCAAGTCTGGCTTTTAATTGTTTGGTTTAGAGGAAATTTTGTTTATTATACCAAGAAAATCTTGAAATAATCATAGTCACCTCCTTCACTTTCCCCAATTTTACCAGACACTTGTCATCCTTCTGTACTTTGTACTCCAAAGCTACATGAAACCACTGTCCAAACATCACTAACATCAAAGAACGCACCTTTTCCTTATTTTAAACTGTAAACAACCCTTTATAAACCACCCCATCAACCAGCAAACGCAGCCCTAATATCCTCCCTCATTAAATGAAAATCAGCAACAGCATCAACCTAGCCCAACAACAAAAGTAACGATAAAAACCGATCACAGCAGGAAATAAAACAAAAGGGAAAAAAAAAGAGTACGAGGCAGGGATAGAATGCCAGCACGATACCGGGAGAACGAGCAATTAACCGGGAATCGACGCCATGGGAACTGGACATGTACGAGGTCCTGAAATTTGACCCTTGGTCCGAGCTGGATTATGCTAGCGATGGATCGCGAACACGGAAGGACAAAAGCGGCCAAAGCAGCAAGATGGCGGATCCATGGATCGGTAGGCGCGTCCGGGCACCCAGTTGGTTCAAGCAACGACCAATCACCGGTGCGGTATAACCGCGTCTGTGCGGTTCCGCGGCCACGCCAGCTGCCAGACCGCAGCGAGTCGGCGCGGCCCAGCAATTGAAATGCGGCTCGCCGACCGCCGACAGTTTCCCGTCGACTCGTGTCAGCTACGGTCCTCTCCACGTGCTTCTCTCATCGTCCTTATCTTGTCTCTTGCACCCACGTTGCAGCATGCATTCAGTCAGCATGGCAACGATCGTGGACCAAAGTGTCACGTGTGTTGCGGCTCGACGTTTTGCGATTTGAAACGAAGTAAGATTGCGGGAGCAAAATCAGGGACTTGGGATTTTGTTGGATTGTGCTAGACCGAGTAATCTTGTGTTTGGAAGAGAACTGCGATTTGGATTATTTGAAACTGTGATTTTGGATTGGAGAAGGAGATTGAGTCTAGAAAAGATTCGTCAAATTTTAGAAGTTTGAAAAGGTGGATTGTGTTGGGTTGGGACAGTTATAGTTAGAAGAAAAAACTGTGACTCTGGGCTGTTCGAGACTATGAGGGGAATGTGATTCTATGTTGCAAATGATGGTTGATTAAAGAAACAAGCAGTTTGGGCCTTTCTATGGTGTTTGAAGAAGTTTGACACTGTGGTATGAATGCAAAATTGGAACAGCTCTATTTGGGAACACTGTGATTTTGGGCTGTTCGAGACTATAAAAGAAATTGTGATTTCTAAGAATTTTATGTGATCATCCCTAGGATTGAATTGTAAATTATTACTTACTGTGTATATTAACTTTGAACAATGCTAAGCATTTAAAAACCAAGATTTTAAATAAACTGCAATCTTAAAGAGGCAGGCATTAAACGTACTAATATTAATTGTGATGTATAAATGAAATATTTGATATTTCAATACCATTTTAAAAGACAAAGGTGACCGAAGAATCACTCACTTTTCGCAATAATTTCTTGCGACAGAACTGAAAATCATGATTAAAATCATCTAAAACACTGAAGATTATATTAATCAGTATTGCAATATACGAATCAACCAATAAAGATGGATTCTAATATAGAAGAAACAGAGCTTGACGTTGGATCAGCGAGCGACGAACTCGAATCATCGATAGCAGAATCGAAGTTAATACGTCGACCGACACCAAAACCGTTTACCATTGAAAGTTTGATAGGAAATTGCGGTGCGCAAAAAGGAAACTGTGATCCAACAACTCAAGGAGAGAGGACAAATGAAAATGAAGAAGATTCTGATAGAGATAGGGAGTATCTTTATCAAAGACACTATCTGGCGACTGCGGCGGCCAGCGCACTATCCCCTGGTTGGTTTGTGTTTCAAATTCCACGTTCTTTTTTCTATATTTGTGGGACAAAAATCAAAAAATATGATGTCAAAAAAGAAAATTTTTTAATTTCATAAAATTTTCATTTCTGGCTCATAATTCAGGGGTTGCAAGTATAATTTTGTTATCAAGTTATAATAACTCTAACACTGATTAGAGCTATGATAATTTTGATAATTATAGTAATTATATGTTAAAATGATTCCAACTAAAACAAAGGGTAAAACATTATTTTTCAGAAATATCAATTTCTAGTTCATTTCTAAATCTACGGATTTGAATGTAGCATATCAATCTTGTTAATGTCAAAAAGCGACTGACTGCACTTTCTCAATTATTAATTACAATTAGATACATATTTTACAATCGTCTTTTCATTCCCGGATATTGCAGTTGCCGGATGTAACGTGAATAATTGAATTCCTACGTGTCCTACTTTCAGCAAAGGATAAAATCCATTTCCTGAAATAAATCTCCTTCTAAACGTCATCTTAAATGTTACGTCACCTTAAGATCGCGATATCATTCGAATTCATGTTAATCCACCTGGCGTATATATATATTTCGTTCAATCGATCATTCATTAGATCGTCTAGTTCATATAATATGCACAGTTAAATGTCTCGAATTAGAACATAAAGATTTTGAGATTTGATTGGAACAGTTTATCAAAATAGCATTCTTTACTTCATTTGCGGGTAAAAATAAAGCATAGTATGAATTGTTATCTTTTTCATTGAATCACAATTCTGATAGAATACAGGATATTACGTCAAATGATAACAAAACAAATCAAACGCGAATTACCATTTTTAGTTGGATCATTACTATCTTCTAAATTTCTGATACGAGTAAAATATATTTTCAAATGATTTTCCAAATCAAATATTAAATATTATTTTAACGTGGGATAGTGTTATTAGAATGCAATCATTAATGGTCGTTAATTTCGATTAACGAGCCATAATTAGAAGGACACATCAGTCAATTTACGATACATTAATTGAATCACGATTCTCCAGGTTTTGGTATGCCACTCGGTTTATACGGTGCATGGTTACCGATGCGGATGTACGGTAGCGGTGGGACTTCCGGTGTTCCGATGTTACCAGCGCATACCTCCGCCAGTTATCCGTCGCACCAGGATCTCTACCAAAGTCGATTATCGCAGCATCTGGGCGCGGGGACAAATCATCTTCAGGGTGCAGCTTATCCGGTCGCTTGTCAGCGTTCATCAAACCATCGTGGTTCAACCAGCTTCACAGACAGTGAAGACGATGGTAGTATTGATTCGCCAGCATCACCTGCTCACGATCTTTCGAAATCTAGACAAGGTAATATAGCCTATTCAATTGTCTTTGCAATTGAAAGCTATATTAATTAAAAATTTCTTTGGTGAAATAGAAATTTTCTAATTTTTCAAGATTTCATTTTAAATTTTACCGAGTTAAAATGAATAAAAATTGTAAGAATAATATAATATTTAAATTGGTGGTGACGGTATGGAAGGGAAGCTCATTAGAAAAATCCCTTCGTTCGTCCTATCGAGCATCGATTCACCGGAAAAGTATAATCGATGAATTATCAGCCGGATCGAAGAAATTTCCGTGCGATGGCCCTGCGTTCGAGGAACAAGGGTTCTTCGTCGAAGGGTCGTCGAGCGTTTGAAATTCGGCCAGGACTCAACGTGTACCGTATCCACGTACGTAAACCGTGCGTGTGCTCACGGAATGTCACAGGTGTGCGTGCACGCGTGTGTGCGACCGTGCGAGATTTGACTTTCGGCTGACTATAATTTATGCACGCTACTGTGTATCTCGGGTCCTTTGCCGGCTTCGTTCGTGGCAACTGCGATCGTAGTGGAGGATACGCTCCTCGAATCCTTAAGTGTCCATCGCGATTTTTTTCAATTCGCGTTCCTCGGATAGCACAGGTGTCATTTGTCTTTTTCTTTTTTTCACCCTTCGTGGTTGGAAAATCCATGAAAAAAGATATGGAATTCCTTTTGTTTCACCTTTGGTAAAATTCGATGGAAGATATATAATCGTCAATTTTTTTTTGATAGTCAAAATTAAGATTATAATTGCTCGAAACAATATTCAACTTAATGAACGCTGATCACGAATCTACCAAGTCACGCGACACGCTGCTTGATTACTAATCATTTTTCGTTCTCGTTTCGTACAATTTATTGTTCCTCTCTTCTTCGAAACTATAGCGCACGCAGTAATTGAAGAACAATGGTATCGTACCAATGTATTGATTTTCTATAAATCATTGCCGCATTTTTAAGGTTTTTCACTACTGCGTGACGCATCGCATGAGATTTACATTATACATCCACTGAAATTCATGATGCACCATGTAAAAATGACAATAATTAAAATTGAGATTTGACTCTCAAGATCTGTCTCATAACAACCCTTATCGGTTTCAACCCTTACTGATCAGAGAGCTACTTATCGAACCCTAATTATCGTGTACAGTATAAACAGAGTTAGTGATAGTAACGATGAAAGTTTCGAGGATAGGGAGAGGTGGTCTATCGAAGATGGAAAGTCGAAACTCGCCGATCACGTATTTCCGAAGGGCGGCGGGGGGCGAACGGACGATCGACGAAGTCGCGCGCATTTATTCGTAGCCGATCACTTTTTATTGATGTACCGCCGACCGAGGCGATTTCGTATGCGCAACGAAATGGCTTCGAGGAATCTGTCATCGGTCATTTATGACGCACCGTGCCGAACCGGTGTGCCGATCGTAGCGACGAATCACACCGATCGAAACTCCTCTCTACTCTCTATCCTTGGCCCTCGATCATCGAAAATGTTCCATCCGAATCACTGTTCTGCCCTTCGACGTTTATCCACTCTTTGGTGTTACGAGATTTACAGAGTGGATGCTGCCCTCTTTAAACTGATAAGTGAGGGTATTGATTTCATAGTTTTCATTCATAAAACTGTCAAGATTGTTACATGTAAATTCTATTTAAGGGATGTTCGATCGTTGCTTCGCACAATTCTATTTGTATGGCGTCTGGAGTGCTTTAAACGAACCACGACGTGTCTTAAAATGGGCTCCATTTCGCTAATGATATTCTAGTCGTGATTCTTCGTTTACAGAAAGCCGGATTTATGAATGAACTCTGTTAAACTGATGTTTTCAATTGCTAGAAGCTTGCAGAAAATAATTTAGAAATGAATCAAATAGCAGTGCGATTAAAATTTAGAATCAGTATAAAAGAAAAATCTATCAATGCAGCAATATTTTATCATTCACATTCAAAGGTGTGAGAAATTAATTTAATTCTATTGAATTCAAAAATGAATTATCTTCTTTCATTAAGAAATGTCTTATTCAACTGATGCGTTAGTTAACGTCGTTAATGAAACGTTCTATAGGAGGAATCTTCTAAAAATAAATGAAATTGAACATGACGAATCGATCGCAGACTAAATGAAATTATTTAGTGAAACGGTTCTGATAGGGCATTCAATGAGAACTTCGTCACTGACGTCGTTCCTGTTGTCCGGCGAATTTATAGCACCTTGAAGAATTCGTTGCACACATAGATTTAAAGGAAACCACGTAATGATCGTTTGACGGTGATTGATATATGAATTAAAAATCGAAAATGGATTGGAAGCTGATTGTCAATCTTATTATCCAGGTGCCATATATTTTTTTCGCGATGCTTTTACTCTCAATTTCAACTACATTTCAATACTCAATACTTCAATTTTAAATCATTTTAAAGAGGGCAGCATCCACTCTGTAAATCTCGTAACACCAAAGAGTGAATAAACGACGAAGGGTAGAAGAGTGAAACACCTCAGTTATAATACCACTATTAATTACTATTATAGTATTATAAAGAAAATTGTCGATCACTAAGGGTTAATACACTTTCATCAAAAAACTACAAAGGAGGTAATTCGATTCCGTATTTTTTTCGCAATTTCAGCAGATTTTTTTCTTATTCATTACCCACCACGAACCCTGTGGCGATCTACACGACAAGGGAGGATCTCTTCGGGTTGTTATACGTAAGGAGAACCGAAATTCTGCCAAAAAAAGTGTCCCCTCGCAACAACATGACCGGAATCGGACCCTTCTATTAATCGATACAGTTAATAGACTAACAGAAAAACAGCATTCGCTTAATCTAAGCTAATGAACAAGATTTTACACGAATAATATTTAGATAATCTATCTACGAGACAAGATTACCAATTAACAATTTTTCACTTATACATGGAAACATCTGAAACAATTTTCAGCAGACGGTTTTCCCACTGGGATGTATTGATTTATTGCACGTTTTAAAGGTTCGTCTAATTTCTATCAGGGACCGACTTAATCGGACACGTAAAATTAGATCACCGATAGTCGACTGGTGAATAACTAATCCGTATTAAATGTAGTCGTGTCGGTGTAACCTACATAAAATTGCTCAAGAGCTTATAGCTCGGTGACAGGTTTATCGACAGAACACGAAATGAGATTGCCTGACGAGTCATCAATTCAATTCTTAATGAGCACGATCGGTACAGAAATATTTATGCTATTTAGAAATTTTAACCGTGTACAATGATTCGTTTATTTTACACGAATCAATGTATAACGAGGAAATTAGAACTCGTATGAATTTTAATTCATTTCATAAATTTAACAATTCTGCTTTCGGACGTGGATTGATATAAGAAAGATCATTAATTATGACAAATCGTGTCCACGTACGGTCGTAAGATTATCTAGTTGCCAAGGAAATGCATCTGTTTCTATTTTTCAAGTGGTCCGTCGGACAGGAAATTATCACGAAGATGTATATGTTCCGACGGTGCAAGAACCGGATCGAACTTTGATCTGGCGATTGGCCACCCAAGTAGCTTCCAAATTATATTGACAATGCAGTATCGCATATTTTTCTAATAATTGCAATGATAATGCAAATTGAGCGACTGTAAAAATAGAGCTCCTATTTTGGGAATTATTTTTGAGACTCTCCAAACTGTATTGAGATACTATTGATAGAATGTGATAATGTTTGGCAATATTTATCTATATTCTATTGTTATCTCTTCAATTCACCATTTCTAAGCACCTGATACCTTTCATGCAACGATATCGAGCAATTGCTCTATTCGATCACAGCCCTAAATAGCAGGGGATTATAAAGATATAAAGATACCATTCGTGTAAAGACTAAGAGGAAAGTGTAAAGACTAAGAGGGGACAACGCCCGAATGTTTGCCCGTGGGATTCTCGTAGGACGTCGCGAGCTCAGCTCGAGGAAATGTTATAGCCCATTCAATCGAAAATCCATGAATTAATAAACACGCGAGTGCATCAAACTCCCTCGCGGTAACTTCGTCGTGGAATTGTAACGTGGCTTGATACACTCGGGAAGAATACAGAGCTTAGTTCCGGGATAAGATTGTCGAGAGGGAGTTTCGTTTACGTTCGATCGATCAATTTATTTCTCCTGAAATTGCAAGAAAGTGAATTACTTCCCTCTTGTTTCAGCAATATTGAGTTTATCATTTGACAGTTGCTCTAGAATTAAAAAGATATACCCATCCTTAAGTTTCATATGTTGTAAGAATAATTCTTAAAGGAACAGTGTAAAATTTGGAGAATAAAAATAATATGAAATAGAAAATTAAATTAAAATTGGAGCTCTCTCCATGGTCCGCCGTCCGAGGGTTGAGACAACATAACACCTTCTGAAGGGATTAAGCTGCTTTTATAGATTCTTTCTATGTCTTTACCAAGCGCTTTAATCAATATTTTCTGTCATAAACAATGCCCGCAACGATCACACCGCTGAATTATCAATAATATCCAGTTGAAGTTAGATTCTGTTACCGTATTCCTGGGACAAAGTTTCTACTTCCTTGTAAGTAAAACGATTCCATTGAAATTCCTGTAATATTTCATCTACATGGTACTTGAAATACACAACAAAGACTAGGTAGCTCGTAAAAAGAGAAGGAAAGCATGGAACACCTGGAAAATAATAGAAAATGAAGTTTCGATCGAGAAGCATACGGTTTATGATTGAGTTATTGTGTCCCGCATATTAAATTGTCTTCTTCTTTACTGTAATCGATGTTAATTGATTTCCATAATGACGTGGCATTTATAGTATTCAAAAGCAAATATGCTTTTAAAAACACAGCCATAATCACTTGCATACCATTCAATTACCTCGGTATTTTATGCAATTTGAATTAATAAAATTAATTAACAATACCAAGTATCGTGGAGTGCATGAATGCAAAGGTGTTCCAGTTATTTAAAATTTATTGGATTCTCGTAACAGCAAATCTCATTAAATCTTGGGTGTACTTGACTTAGTTCTCTTCAATTTGCAGGTTCGTACTCTCGTATTCCCTTTGATGTATTTTTTTTTCTAACTAGAGCCGACAGGTGTTCAGAAACTTCCACGTTTCCAACATTAATATACCCTAAATCCATAGAAAAAGGTATTTACAAGATGCTCGAGACATTTCAAACTTCGATGAAATTTACTTCTGTAGAAATATGTCAGTCTGTTCCTCACATAGGTAATCTCTTTTCAGGTTCCGAGAACGGTCGCGCTTCGGCGGACAGCGAAGACGAGGGTGGAGGGTTGAGCACCACCGGGGAGGGTCACGACCCAACCGATACCATGTCCAGCAACGCGTCCAGCAACGTGAGTCCCGGAGGATCTTTAGAAAATGGTCAAAACACTTCATCAACCGGGTCCAGCAATAACAAAGCCAGACGCAGAAGGACAGCCTTCACTTCGGAGCAATTATTGGAACTCGAAAGAGAATTCCACGCGAAAAAGTACCTCAGTTTAACCGAGAGATCGCACATCGCTCATGCGTTGAAATTATCAGAAGTGCAGGTGAAAATCTGGTTCCAAAATCGAAGAGCCAAATGGAAGAGGGTGAAGGCTGGATTGAGCGGAGGGGGTGTTGGTACCGGAGCGACCAACATGGCGACGGCTGGTGCTTCCAGCAGACACAACGGAGCCTCTGGTCAACATTCCGGAAATGGTACCAGAATCGTGGTACCCATTCCAGTGCACGTCAGTCGACTGGCGGTCAGATCTCATCATCATCATCTGGAAAAGTGTGCCAGGCCACCAAGAGTCAGACCAACCAGCGAGAGTCCATCATCCAGTGCGTCATCGTCTGTTCTTGGAGACGCACTAGGCTTAGTTAATTCGTCCATCAATCTGAGTGGACAGGTGCAAAGTCCTCTGAACAGCGGGGTCGGTATAGGTGTAGGAGTCGGGTTGAGAGCGTTCACTGTGCCCTCTCATCGAGGTGGACTCAGCTCTTCCGGCAGGTAGTGAATGGTACACGGTGAACCACGGACTTGATGAAACTTGAGGGGTCATGGTGATTCGTGATTCTTTGGATGGGACTAGTGAGAGTAGACACGGTGTATCGTTGATTAGGGTGAACGGTGAGGAGGAAACGATGGAGTTTAAGATCGGTGGGTGATTTGGACTTTGTGAATCTTTGATGGTTTAGTGCAAATTTGGAGAAGATTTTAGGATGCTTGTTACTCGAGAATGTTTCCTCTTTTGTGTTTTTGGAAATATTGGAACTTGGTCCCGAATAATTTCCATTTGAATTTTACATAGCTCAAATTGCACTCTACTTGCCTCTATAATCTTGAACGCCGAAAAGTGAAGTAAAGATTCAAATTGAAATTCAATTTGTATAACTAATCGAGTAACGAAACGATCTTCCCGAACACCCTACCTTAACAAATTCATTCCGATCGAGTCATCCTGGAATAGTGTTTGATTTTTCATCGTTCTATGGAGATCAATCGATGTAAATAAGCGTCTGGATCGTAGGTAGAACTCTGTAAATAGCTTTCGCACAGCGTACCTAGGCTGTTTCATTGGTCGTACGACTGTAGGTCGTGTACTTGTAGATAATTTGCCTGCGTTAAGCGAACCTTCGCTCTATCCAACGAGTACTATGTTACGACGATATATTCTATCGATCGAGCGTGCGATTATTACAGCTGCATCAAGGCAGCGATGAAGCGGAAGAACGGCCGAAGTGTATATCGAGAGGGTAATAAAACGTGCGAGTATCATGTGGAATATCTATCGTGTACCTGAATTGCACACCAAGCCATCGACTCCCAGCCCTGTTTCCCGCGACTCGTGCGATATTACAAGGCAGAAACGATTCGTTATTCCGCGAGTTGTCGAGAGTTATGGATCAAACGGTCGACTCCGAGGCTCTCAGCTTCATTATTCATCCGCGAGTTAAGGCGAATTAAACGCGTGCTCTATGCTCGCCGACGTCTATTTCAGGTCGTGACCACGAGGAACGTGTTTTAATTCCCATCGGTTCGAAGGTAAGAGATTCCTCTTTGAAGTTCCCGGTAAGGTAACACGAGTTGAAATTAAAAATTTGGAGAATTCGAAATCTCATAGAAAATTTCAAGTTGTTACTTCAAAATTCACCAACATGAAACCTTGGAAAATCTTCTCCTCTTCTCCCTTCTTCAGAAAATCTTTTAATTCCATTTGTCCTTTCCGTTGTATATCATTCTTTTCATTATCATTTTTTCGAATAGCTCGCCTCCGTAATCGATTCTCGAGTTGTTTTGACAATTACGTCGAGCGAGACGCTTCGAAGGGGTGTCAGAGTCGCTTTTGTCGATCTCGACTGGCAAACGCGGTCACCGTCTCCCATGGGATCGGCTCGACGCGGAAAATTGCACCCTGTACACGACGGGCGTGGCACGGCGCGCGTATTTTCGCAGGCTGCGGCGCGTGCTGCTGGCCCGTTTTTCTAGGGGACCCATGGAAAAAGCGGGCCCCGTGTTCACTTCTGTCGAACGCCTCCGTAGGCGTGACCCCATATGCCACTTTCGGCCATGCAACCTAACCGCCTCGTAGATATGCATTTGTGCATTGTGCAGTCGGCTAATTTGTCGCCGGCTGAACTTTTGCTCTGAATACAACGAAACGAGGGATTTTTCGTGGGTTTCTTGGAAGGAATCTTATTCGAGAGCTCAGCAGATGGGCTGTTAAACGATCATTTTTTTTGTAGTTATACTTTCACTTGAAAATTAATTTGAGGTACCATTTGATCGACACGATTAGCAACTTCAAAGTTCTTTCATCATAATGCAAACGAGACACAATTTATGCGACACCTAATCGATCAAAATTTACGACTACACGAATATCAATACGTTCGTGCATCTCACGCGCATTAAAGCAGGAAGTGGATCATACAGTGACTTCGACCCGGGGCGTTGCAACGGGGGAAAGGAAATTATAGGGGCACAATAGAGCAGGGTTCACCGGCACAAAGTGCACGAGGCATTTAGTTTGGTGTATCATCGCCGTAATTTTCTATCCCAATATTTGCATGATGATAATTTCAGTATTCAAACGACAGTTATTATCAACAGAACTGATGGAGGTACAAAATACAGGAGTAATTAAATACAAAATGTGGATATAATATTTCTCAAGAGAATACAATTAAAAAATTTGTATCCTTAACAAGAATTCATAGATTGATATTTTACTGAAAAATTAATTCTACCAAGTTATGAGAAACGGACATCAGAAACAAGTTTCTGAAGATTTCTGGCTACAAATCTGAAACGTGATCCAGAAACTAACCAACGAAGAAACTGAGAAGAAAGAAGAGAGAGAGAGAGAGAGAAGATCTAGACGAGGGGTTGCAAAAGCGAACAGGGTAGGTATAGTTATATACAGTGGGCACAATGGCAACGGCAGAGTGCATTACGGTTAATACACGAAGGACCGCGGTCGTTTAGCCGAGGATCTCGGCAGTTACCGCTTCGCAAAGGATAAATCATCTCGTGATTTCAACCACGCCTACCGGAGGACAGAAGCGGCTCCCCTAGAGCGTAACGTACGGCCTAGACGTACTGTTGCCGCTCGATGAAAACCCCCGGAGTCGTTCTGAAAGCGGAAAACTAATAATCCCTGGCCGCGGATATCCGTTCTGGAACAGTCACTGGCACGGAACCGGAATTGTATATTGATAGCCCGATCGCGGACGTTTTTGATCGAAATTTGACCGCGGAAATCACCGCGACACGTTTGCGGTGTAATTTTAGATTTTCCAGGAAGACTTGAAACACTTGAAACGATACAGATGCAAGTTTGAACGATAACGATTTACGGTTTTCTATTTTCGCTCGTACAGGAAGTTTCTGACAAATTAGCTTCAATGAAATCGAAAATAGAAAGATGGAGGTGTTATTAAGTATATTAAACTGAGATAGAAAATTACTTTCAATTATAGTTTGGAGTTAAGATAAATAATTTTCTGATTCTTGAATATCAGGAACTGTATTATATTTTTGTGTAGATACATGATGCTAATGTTAGGTTGAAGGGGTTAAAAGTAACAGGGTAGATAATCCATGTTCGAAAGATAATGATAGGTATAATTCGAGATTGAACGGATTCTCACAGACACGTGAAGGAAGAGTGGCAAATAATAAACGCGGTCTATTTCCCACACTCGGTACTGCAGTCGAGAGCCGGGAGATTTTCCCATTTTCCCCAAAAGGGCCGTGAAATTGGGCAGACAAATCGTAGCTCGAGAGAGCGAGACGAATTTCACCAGGTCCATGCCCTCTGCTACTGTATCCAACGTCTGTCACCTTCTACATCCAATTCGCCCCCTTGTTTCTCACTATTAGTAGAACATATTAATCCATTCCGCTTATCTACCATTTTACCATTTTAGGTTTCAAAAAATTCTGAGAAATATATCCAATTTTTTGAAACTGTTTCAATAAAAATAAGAAATTAAATTTCGCTTGGGCCAGATATCATCAAAATCAAAGATCTCGAAACACAAACCAGTCGCCTACCCCTTAACCCACCCCAAATCATGTGATACCCCGATCAACCCCCTAGTCACACGAAACGACACACAACAGACCGTCGAAGCAGAGGTGTTTCTCGTAGAACACAATTTCTCTCGGTTAATTGCTCTCATTACCACGGCCGCTCGTAAAGCGTCGAATCGGCAGCGGCCAAGGGTGGTTCGTCGGGGTAAAAGAGGGTCGGGTGAAAAAAGGAGCACGATGGAGGATCGTTTCGCGACGGACTCGGACTCGAGTAGTCGAGCGTGCAAGCTGTCTGCCTCGGGCCAGAGGAGGAGAAACGTGGCCGTGGAACGAGCGAATGAGACCCGAAGAGACGGTGATCTGGGGAGAGACGATCGGGGGAGGGAAACGGAGTTTAATGTTCCCCTCCAGTGGGTGACTCGAGGGTGTAATTGCCGTAGTGGGCGGAACGGAGCGAGTATAGCGGTGATGGGCGTGGTTCGCTGATTACACCGCGTTGATACTGATATCTCGGCTACCACCGACGAGTTTGCACCCCTCCCGCACCCTAACCGCACACCGCCGACCACTTTTCCCTTTTCCAGTCGATGCTCCACGTTCATGAAAATCCTGCGATCCACGGATCTAGTTCGTCTCGAATAGCTCGAACGTTTCCTCGTTCTCTTCCTTCGACTCGATTACGTAGATCGTTTCCTTTCGTGGTTTCTAGAATCGTTGATCTAATTCCTTATGAGAGGAAGTAACTTACTTTGAACCTGCTGGAGGCTTGATTAGGATAGCTGAATTTCAGCAGAATGGAAGTGGTGCAAGAGTTAGAGAAGAAGGAGAGTTGAAGGAAAGATTTAACTTTGAAAGGGGTAGTTTAGTTTGGGTTTGAAGGACGAATGATGATTCTAATGAGAAATTAGTCATTTAGGATGAAATAATTAAACTCCTTAATGGATAGCTCTAGTATGTAATTTTCTAATTAATGATCGACACCATAAATTTAATTTGATTAAGATAATTAAGAATAATTCTAAATGGTACTAATCTTTTCGACCTGATGCTTTAATCAGAGTAGTATCTTTTATCACATACTGAAGTTTCGTATACTGTAAATCAAAGTTAGATGTTTCTTTTGTATTCTCATTCTTCTCCGTTTAACTTTGTACCATTTCTAGCTGTTCAATTCTTCGCCGAACTTTGAATGTAAGTTTACGATATCGGGGACGTGGAAACACCGAATCAAAGCTCGCCAGGGATCCTCCTCTTTCTGATATCGCGTGGACAAGTGCCAGGAGTGCAAGAATTTGAATTTCATCGCCTCGATTTCCTTTCTGTCGCAATATTATTATAACTATATCGATTTTCTCCTGTGAAACGAAGCGTTCACTGATTCCCGAATTTGCTTTATATCTGAGAAACGATCTCCTGGACTGTTCATACAGTTTCAACTTCACTCTCTCCATTCTCCAAAAGTTTCAACATAACTCACCGAAGAGGTAAACAGTTTTCAATTTACTGTCGTACAAGAAATACTAACATATCAATGAATCAAATTCAATTCAACAACAACCATAAATCCTTCCAAAATGGAAAGGTACCCCAGTTACCTATACAAGGATTAATCACAGAAGAAGATAATTAATCACCAATTAAATTATTTCAAATCAAGAAGAAGGGTGCATCGAAAATTTTCCATGTTGCACTTTTTGCTGCTCTTCTGCAGCCAAAGTATGGCAACGGTTAAATGTTGGAGTCAAATTCCCAGGAACAGTTGGAAAACGCGAGGATCGCGAAAAGGGGGACGCGCAAAGTGATTGCCAACGAAATGAACGAAACCTGCGGTGAAACCGGTGCCGTGCCATCGGCGATCCACGCCCCGCTGACTGGACTGTTTTTTATTGCCACCGCGCCCGAAAGATCGACCCGAGCTAGAGGACGATTCTCCGTCTTCCAGCCGGGGACACGTGGAACGAGCGACGGGAAAAGGAAGCGGCGTAGGAAAAAGCGGGCAACACGGGGCCAAGGGAGGATCGGAAAAGTCGAGTCCAGTACGCCTGCAGCTGTAAGCAGGGACAAAGTGGGTGGAGACACTGGCTACGAGTAAACGCTGGAGTCAGCGCAGCGGATTTTCTAAACGTATGGGGGGGTATATTTTCATGGAGAAGTTGACTGCTCTTTGTCCTCGATTTCATACGGTTTTTAAAATGTGGGTAACCGATGAATACATGATCGACTGAATCGTCTGAATTGTGATCAGGTTGAGAAATGTTAATTTGATGAAGAAAGGTATCGATTATAATTTGTTATATCTGATAATTGGTAGAATGGATTATTCTTCAATTTTCCAGTTTCCTTTGTTTTATTCTAACAACTTTAATATCAGTACAATTTCCCTCGTATACACAACCGTGTTGTTCTTTACTCTGTGCAATCAATATTCCGCGGTATATTTAGAAATCATTTTCACTATGAATTCCACGATAGAACAAAAGGCATCGTATCAGAATTGCATTAAAATTTTCTCAACGAATAAGAGTATGTGACCAGTTTAAAAACACTTGTTCCTCTTGCTTCGATTTGCAATTTTCGGACAGACGAAAGCCACGAAAAAATGTTCCCAGAGTTTAAGAACCCGCTAGAAAGTGTACGAAATACGTTTAAACAGTTCGTAATGAAGTATTCAACAACGGGAACATCGAGGAAATCGCGTATTCATTTCACACGGAGGATCGAGTACCGCTAGCAAGAAAACAGCGAATCAGATCGATTCGACTTCGGGGATTTGTTCGTCGATCAGATCGCGGTATCGAGTGGGCGTACCGCACGAGGGTCAACCAGTCGAGATCTTGGTTTTGCCGTTTAACGAGGATCGGCCCTTCTGTAAATGAGACTCGATGACCTGGCAGAAATCGAGGAACGAGTCCGCCTTGGTTCTTGCATAGAGGAATGATATCGTAAGAAAACGAGCGGGCTAGCTATGCGAACGAAAGTGCAGTCGTAGCACTCGTTCTTTTCACGGGGGGGTGTCGTCGATGACTTTCTTTCCGTTGCGCAACCCCGAATAGAATGTTGCATCGAGATCAAATTTGCTTTCAATATTTCTGCTTAGGAATTGATGGAAATTAATCCTCTCGCCTGATAGAACCGATAGTTCGTATTCTTAGTAGAATAAAAAGAAAATCAAAGGACACCGCTTCCTCTCCACCTTCGCCAGGCGTGATCGTCAAGATCGAAAAAGCTATTGCTAAGAGACGGGCTACTGGTATTCCTCTATCCGATCCCGTATTTCGAGAATCGTTTCGTAACCGAAGTCCGATGGTCTTTGCTCGGCAATGCCGCCGCGACGAACGCCGTCTGCATATCAAGACGTCCCCGGTAGCGCCGTGCCTTCTCTCTCCACGCGGCACGTACATCGTTCATTGTCAGTCTGTTACCTTTTTGTACTTATTTAATACCGTCCTCTGGCGTTTTCCACGTACAGTGAATGCGTAAATGGTCAGGGTGAACGTGGATCGCGCGAAATCGCGCGCGACTCCACGCTTTTAATTGCGTCCTCGTTCTCCGGCCTTTTTTTTTTTCGAAGAAAATCATTGTAATCTTACGACGATCCTGTTTTCCCTCCAAGTCCTGGTGACATTTTATCTAAGCGATCGTAGCTGGAAATAGAGGGAGAACCGTGAGAATCGAGCATACAATGTCCGTGAACTCTCTAATATCCGTAGGAGTGTAATTGTAAAACTGATCGGTAGTCTGGAACTTGAATTAGCGTGCGGAAAATAATACATGAATTATCGACTGAACGCTACACAACGATGATTACGATTACACAGCGGTGGTCGTCAGGCACGCCGACTCGGTTAACAGCCAAATAAGGGTGTCGAGAACTCGCATTGCCGGCTCTTTTATTATTCATATGCGAGAGAGTAAGGCGCGTGTAATGCTCGCCATGTCCGCGCACGAGACATTTCATTTGGACGCGTGCACGCGCGACCAAGGGAAATCGACGATCACGATACTACCCCTTTGCCAGGGGGGTGGATCGTGCGTCTGTTGTTTCACTAACAATTATAGAAACCTCTAATTCGTAAAGGTCCTTCACTGTTAAATTATGATTTTTAGAAGGGAAATACATTTTCCTACAAATATGTAAAATCATAATTTAATTTTACAAATAATATTTGATACCTGATTAAAATTTCAGTTGACAGAAAATTGCTTCATTTCTCATGAAGTTTGACTAATTTCAAGTATCAGTTCAATTATTGAAATATTCCATTTGGGTCGCATCTATCAGTCATATTTTGCTTTCAATTATTTGTGTACACATCTGTATGCACAAGTTTTGTTTAATATTTTACAGGGAAACATTGATTAATCTTCTCTGAAACATATTGTTGGAAAGATTGACAGGAGTCTGTTTAATTATTCAACTCTGAAGATTTTCAATATTATTGCTCATTATTTGATAACGAATTTGCAGTGCTCGATATTTGTTATCTTGTCAGATACAAAAAGGGAAGTGAATTTTACCTTTGTACCAGATCTCTAGTCTCGAAAATGCTTTGCTGCCTGCCTCGCTAAGATGGGTGTGACCACGGTCCGCGATCGTATCGCCCAGGTTTGTTTAAATAATCGAACGTTTCGGGAACGTGGCGCGTATCTTCGTGTCGGCATCTAGCCAGCCAATATGTATGATAATTTTGACATGCCTACACCTCATAATGGATCCTGAGTATGTACGAGTGCAGAGATACCAATACATTCGCAGGATTTAAGGGCAAAAATAAGATACTTAATAAATGATAGCAATTTCTGTCACTGCCATTTTAATAAACAATTAAATAGCTAATATCAAGTTTCTCGCTTAAAAATTTGAATATATCATATTCAAAGCTCTGTTGCATAGTACTTTTTAGAAACTTAGATCACGATAGATCATAATTGGCTAATTAATAGGGATTACATGATCTTCACTTTTCAAGCATACATTCATAATTAAAATGTTCTGCCTACTTAATTGGTACAATATGAACCTCGTGATTACAAAGTAATTGATTTAATAAGCTGAAAATATTATATAAACCTCATTTTGTTTAGGTTTCTTCATTTCATATCAGCGCGCATTTGAAATGCAACTGCTAGCGTCATCTGGTAATGAACTTCGGAACAAGCTCTACAAAAAAATGCATTTTTTGAGTAAATGAATGATCTTTGAGTCTTTTTCAGATCAGCAGAACATTGAGCGACCTCAATTTAGTATAAACAATAGCAACATAGTTTATTAAAAACCTGAAACTCGATAATTCAGAAAACTGCAATCCATGGACTACAAAACGCTATAGCCATCTAACGGTGGACTGCCCCTCTGGCAACCTTAATTAAACAATTCATATAATCAATGTTCTGTGAAGGATAACTTTTTATTTTGAAAACTTAGGACGAATAATTTGATGTCAAATGAAAGATTATCTTTCGTTCTATTTTAGGAAACCCCGAGAAGCTTCATATATGGAAGATTTTAAATGCTAGAGGTGGGTGGGACTGGGGATGTTGGGGAGAGACCACAGCGTTACGAGACAGTTCGCGTAGTCAATGTTTTGAGCATGATAACTTTATATTTTCAAAATTTAGGACGAACAGGTTGATGTCATATGAAAGATTGTCCTTCGTTCTATCTTTGGAAACCCGGAGAAGCTGAAAACATGGAGGATTTTAAATGGTAGAAGTGGGAGAGCCTGGGGATGTTGGGGAGAGACCTGCGCTCCTTCCAAGCGATTTCATACCAGCCACGAACGGTACAAGCTTCATCAAAATTTGTTTATTTGAAACATTGTTACATTTAAACAAATTGTTACTGATCTTTCGTAAATAAGAAACATATCTAATATCAAAACTATTGGCACAGATTTCTGTATTGGTGGCAAAATATCAAAAAAGACATATAGAGGGTGTCTATACAACGGTATTCCTCAATACTGTGGTTCCAATTAAAAGTAGGTCATTTGATATTCGATATAGTTTTTTATCCAATATTACACTTATGTTTGAAATTTTAACGAAATAATTTGATGTTAAAAACGAAGATATACTCAGTAATATCGGCGTATGATAATATTATCAAGGTAAGCTACATCGGTAAGAGCGAAAGGACGCTGTAAGAGTAATAAATTTGACGAGGCGCTCCATGTCGAATGATTTCAGGTAGTAACAACGTAAAGCTGTCAGAGTGATTTTGGCATTCTACTGCATGTGGTTATAATAATAATAATAATAACAATATAGTTTGTGATGTGCTTATGAGATCAGTGAAAACAATTGTGATTGCAAGCAGTATTATTACAATATCAAAGAAAGAAGCTTGTTTCTACTAAACATGTCTTCCCTCCAAAAGTCGGTTTTAAAATCAAAATTACCACCATCAGGTGTAAACTATGGAGTCAGCACTAGGTTGGTCTGTTACAGATTATATATATGATTTTCAGATGAATGAAGTTTCACAATATTTTAGCTATTTATAAATCTGACTTAATAATAACTGTATTGCTAATATATATTTAACATAAATGTTAAAGTAGGGTTAGTAAATCCAAAGGCTTTCAACGTAAAAGAGATTACGATCCAGTCCAATGGTGTCCATACTTTGATGAATCCGAAGATGTGAAAATAGGGAATAATACATTTCATGTTTATACTAAGGGAACTGAAGGACCTACATTAGTATTACTACATGGAGGTGGATACAGTGCATTAACATGGGCAGAATTTACTGTAGGTATTGCTTTTCAGATGTATCAAATTGAGAATAACTTGCATGTTTCATATGTCTCAGAAATCAATCATGACTATGGTAGTCTGTAAAGTTATGGCAATTGATCTTAGAGGCCATGGAGATACATATACAACAAATGAAGAAGATTTGTCTGGAGATACTTTAGCAGAGTAAGCTATTGAAGAATTAGGTACACATTGTATGATACATGTATTCTGATCTTACTTATTTCATGAACAGGGATGTTGCAGCAGTTATACAAGCAACATTAGAGAACACTCCTGTAATTCTAGTGGGTCATAGTATGGGTGGTGCAGTAGCTGTTAGGGCTGCACCTTTAATTACCAATCTCTCTGGATTAGGTGTTATTGATGTGGTTGAAGGAACAGCAATGGATGCATTAGCATCTATGCAAAGTTTTCTCCGATCTCGTCCATCCAGTTTTAGTTCTATTTCACAGGCAATTGAGTGGTGGTTAGTATTTCTTTTATTATGTACACCAAGGATATCGTATCATCTTTCTAATCGTCGACATTTTAGCGTGCGAAGTGGCCAGATCCGCAACGTACAATCAGCTAAGGTGTCAGTTCCTGGACAAATCAAAAAGTTCGTACACGAATATATGCATCGTGCTGCTCATATATCACTCTTTTATTATTTTAATATACCGTCTTCTATTTCACTGTAGCATCGAAACCAACAAATTAGCTACTCATGACATTGATTCTCTGTCGCAATCATCGTACGAATGTGATTGCGAGCCTACGATTCCGCGTGAAGATATCATTCAAGAAGAAGAACCTGTTAATATGCCACCACCGCTTCCACCTACCACTGCTACTGCTACTAGAAAGTATGTTTGGAGGATAGATCTGTCTAAAACTGAACAGTATTGGTTTGGGTGGTTTAAGGGTTTATCAACAGCATTCTTGAATGTACCAGTTCCTAAGGTACTATTATTAGCCGGTGTAGATCGGTTAGATCGAGAACTTACCGTTGGTCAGATGCAAGGTGAAACTAATATCATATATATGTTAAAACTAACTATAAATGTCAAGAAAATGTATAAAAATTATATTTTTCTATTAGGTAAGTTTCAGATGCAAGTATTACCAGCATGCGGGCACGCAGTACACGAAGACGTTCCAGATAAAGTAGCAGAGGCAATTGCTACTTTTATGGTTAGACATAAATTTGCGGAACCAGCATCAGACTTTCCAAGGTAAATTTAAAGTTATAAATATTATAAAAATATATATATATTAACTTGCTGTTTTTTGGGGGTATATTACAGAACTTTCCCTGCATGTTAGGTTCGTATAAAAGGAGATGAGCAATTTTATTAACAATACAATTATAAAAAAATTGATGAATTAGATAAAATGAGCATTTTATTTATTTAAAAAAGATATATTCACAAAATATATAGGGATACATATGTAAATAAAAACATTATTTCGACAAGAAAAATAAACTTGTTCTTACATACATCAATTTTTTTTATCACCTCCATGCACACACAATGCTATATCTGTGTAGTGTATATTTATAATGACATATTGCCATCTGTACAAAAATATTAATAAAAAGTGTAATAAAAAAGATTCTATTAAAAAATTCTTATACTCTATATTCTCTTCGAATTTATAATACTTCAGTGTGTTCATACAAAAAATGGAGATATAAATATATACAAATTCACGACAATACACGAAAATGTATCAATTTATAATACAGACATTACTGTGTCTATATTAAAACGAGTGAAGTTTATAAACAGATGAAAATAATGTTCCTTCCATAATATCGCGATACATATCGATAAATGTAGCGATATTGAAATGTGTATTTCCTAATACCGTATTTTTTTATTTAAGACACTAAATTAAAATATTTGATTTTAGTTTTGACACTCTACGTTTGAGCATGTGCGCATCGCACCATTAATTGTCAAACCCGAAATCGGTTAAATTTTTTATAACGACACAAGGACATCCTGCTCGACCAGCTTTCAAAGGAGCGACCTTAAAATATATTACCTTGGTATTTATTTATATACTAAAACTAAATAATATTTTCAGGACACTCGTTCTTACCGGTTCCCATTCGTTAAGGTGAGGATCGTATGCTTCGACTAGCGTGAGGTACTGCTGGCCATCATAGCCACCCACTGCCATCAGTCTATCACCCAGTACACAAACCCCAACAACATCTCTTGGAGCACTCATTGGTGCAACCATTGTCCATGTATCTGTTTTGGGGTCGTACCTAAGAATTTTCAAACATAAAAAAACATTAATTTAAATATTGTAACATGTATGTTTTCGAACATATACCTTTCAACACAATCGAATCGGCTGGCATTGGGATTAGTAGAAGGTGCATCATGTCCACCCAGTGCATAAAGGCATCCATTTACGACACCTACACCTACTCCGCCTCTCCGTTTTGACATAGGCGCACATGGAGTCCATTTATTAGTGTGTGGATCATAACACTCCACTGTATTCAAACATGAACTTATATCCCTTCCACCTACAGCATATAATCTAGAAATACGCGGATATGATATACATCATCGGATGATTGAATTGTTCACAGCTTATCTGAAAACTCACTTATCATTTAATACAGCAACACCAACTGTAGACCTTTGTATGGACATAGGAGAAACTGAGCTCCACTGACGCGTAGCTGGATCCCACCTTTCCACTGTATCAAGAAAACTCCAACCATCGTGACCACCAACAGCATATAGAGGTCCACCTAACACAGCTACACCCAACCCATGTCGATGCACATTCATAGGAGATAATGTGCTCCAATTGAAAGTTGTAAAATCGAAACATTCTACAGTATTTAACGTTTTTAATCCATCTCTCCCACCAGCAACTATCAATTTCTTATCAACAATAGCAGCACCAAACTGAAGTCTCCTACCGCTCATACTGGCTATTGGTTTCCAAACATTATCTCTTAGAGAGAATGCATCTATAGAAGTAGCACCTAACAAAAGAATATTCAGATCACTAAATATTCACTTTACTGTCCATTACAGCTCATTTACCCTTATTGGCATCCATCCCTCCAACAGCTAACATATGACCCACAGTGGCTTTCCTGGGCTTTGTACGTTCCGACTGGAGTAATGGCCTACGTTCGGGTAGAAGGTGATACTTTAATGCTTCCATTACTAATTCCTGTGCCATTCTTTGATCTCTGAACATTTCATTGCTTTCAATATTATCCGCTATAAACTGTACGAACTCAATGAACTCAATTCAAATAATTTGAAATTTTCAGAAATATACGAAAGTATATAGCTCACCGCGGGCGATAATAAAGGTAATTTTACAAGACTTAATAGTTTGCTTGCATCTTTCCGCCTATTTTCTGGATCATGCTCCAGCCAAGTCATAAGTGCCTGTAGTTAATAGGAATGGTAATAGTTCTTCTATCACTTCAAGCCTTGAGTTTAATAATTATTGAACAGACATAATTATTGAACTTGAGGATTAAATTTATCTAGACAATTCTTTGTATAATTGTTCAGTGTTAAAATAATGTAACTTCTTACATGAAAAATAGTCTCTTCTGAAGGTACATTAAGATCTTCAGACTCTAATAATTTGGCAACTTCACTAGCAGAGAGTAGTAAAAATTCTTGATTTTTTGTAACTTCCATAAAATGTTTTGTAGTATATGCATGAGCATGATCTAACAAATCTGTACAACCCTGTGTGTCGGCAAACATTCTTATCCCTAAACAATTGCTTGGATGGAGTTGTTTCCTAAGAAATTGGCAACAAGCCTTAACAACTGGATTCAATTGTAGCAACCGTGCTGTTGCTAAAAGAGTTTCTACACTATCCTCTCTTAACTCTATGCAACCTAAGTTTAAAAAGATTTTATCAGCTATTGTTTTCACATTGCCTGTGGCTTTGAGTCTTTGCTTAGACTATACCTGTATAACAATAACAGACCAAAGCCCACAATGCATCCCCATCTACCTCTTTTAATTCAACTTCATTCTGTGCAGATTCCCTTAAAGAACTAGTAAACATTGCAGCAAAATATTCTGAACCTGCACTAAGTACTAGACGATGTGCTGGAAAACGTCTGCTTCCTGATCCAGTAACAAAAGAATAAAAATATTTTTTACAGCATTTAAATAATCATAAGTTCCATTTCACCTGATTGTAAACTCTGACAATTTATTATCAAATCGTAAACGGTAAGTTCGAAACAAAGGAACTTATCGACGACACTACTTACCAGCAATTAATATGACATCTGTCAATTGTTGCTTATGAAGATACTTCTCCATAACTCTAAGACTATTTTCTGCATGCTTTGACACGCGAAAATTTTCATCTTGCGAAGCAGTAATGCTTGAAACCATCCTTGAAATACTATGTTCATTACCAGACGCTTCTTTGTTCGCGAACAAAAATTCCTGTTCGCCTTTGTTCATTCCTGTTACGGTATGGTTTACTCTCGACATTTTCGCGCAATCAAATCTTTGACAATTATTCTCGTGATAATACTATCTTTTATTTCTTCAAGGCACTTTACTTTGTGAAAGCAATTTATTTTCACACGAACGATCCGTCTGTAGTGCACTGAAGCTTAACGGCGACGGAGTGTTGACGCCGTGCTTTACCTTGACAGTTCGAGATGTGTAAAACTGGATGTAAACAGTGAATCGCGCTTAGGTACGGTCAGTGACCATCTCTCTTCGTTTCTTGGGTCAGTGCACTCTGCTAACTATTTAGATTCATCATGAACCGAATATAAACATAGGTACTAATGTTATGTTTCATTACAGCAAACGGCATACTTGTGTTTAAAATTGCAACAAACAGTGCAACTCATCCAACTTATAAAAAACTCCGATTCCGATCCTTGCCTTTCTTTGTTAAAATCATGGAACTATATATAGCTACAATTCTTTTCGTATGAAACAATGCAAAAAGGTATGTCAATTCCGAATTAGAACACTTTTATACATTTCTGAATTTACTATTAATATCAAGGGATTTATAGTTCACATTTAATTTACGCAAATGGAATGAAGCCTAAAAGTTAGGTTACGTCATTTCACTCTTTTGTTTCGTATAGCATCGAACAAAGCTTCTTTAGAGAAAACGATGTTACAGGGAAAATAGAAATTCTCAAAATCCTAATTTTAACGATACTAATATTATAAATAATAAATAATATAATTTTTTGCACTTCTACGTCTTTATTTTCCTCGGGACATATGCTCGATGCTGTACATGTGCTGTATATAGCATTTGAAAGTGCATATTTTATAAATATGACTCATTTAAGAGTTGTAAAAAATGCAAGTAATAATAATAAATGACTAATGTTACTTAAGGGGAGTTTAAAATGGAAAGATACGGAACATTTGTTGAAGAAATTACAAGTTTATTGTACTCCACTGTAAATATATTACAAATATATTTCTTTGGATGACACATTGATTTCACTGTGTTCGTTTCTATTAATTAAAACATGTTAGATAATTGCATATAGTTTATCACGTACAATTCATATTCATTAAAATGACAAGATACATAAAATTGCTTATATGCTGCAAAGAGGTAAAGTTACAAATGTTATGACTCGCATTAAGTATCTAGTCATCTAACAATTAGTCTTGTAATTCACTACTTCACGTTTAATGACACTTTTAATAGAAATATATTTTCTTCTATTCCTCACATTTCAAAATTAATTTCGTCCACGGTTGTATGGAAAATAAGACTTAATATTTATACAAGTTTGTGTACATACAAAACTGTGCACGATGACTTTCCTTAATGACTTTGGCATTACAGTTTTGTTTATACATGTAATTGTTCCTTAATAAGAAGATATATGATTTTTACATACACTTTGCATCATTAAATGTTTTTGGCAGAAAGATTAACTTTCTACAATTATCGTGCGTTAATACTTTATAAATTATACTGTGTATGAACGACATTATTGCCGTTATTATTATGTACAACTGAGGCTTCCCTTAATGAAAGAAAAGGGTAGAGACAAAAATGTCTTCTCATTTGCCTTATTTGTACATATATTTTATTTGTGGGAGCGGAGGTTCTATGTTAGACTCTCTTTGGCTCTCCCAATCGTGAAGCCTAAGTTGCACTCGAATGTACACCCGCACACTTTCTGCAGAAATATTTTTAGCAAAAATATTCCGCAGTACGCAAACGGAAGTGAACGGAATTATCTATCGTTAGTAACATACATATATAAAATATAAAAATGGCAGCCAACCGCAGTATTCAAAACAAACAAAAAATATAATCGTAACAATTTCATTAAAAAAATACTTTATATGACAAAATTGTCATTATAATACCCAATATCTGCCGTGGAACCATATGATCTATCTAATACATTATTGTCGATTAATGGACTATATACAGATTGCCCCCCCGCACGCTTGTTCCGGCTTCGTTGAGATTTCTGTGTTTGAATCTGTGAATGACCCGTAAAAGGGTCTTTTCCGACAACAAAATAATCGATCTATCAGCTCGGATAAATCGCTTTTCTCACAATCATCTCTATAGAGACCGCTGGATGCTTCGTCTGTACAAGCAGCTATAAAAGTTTGCAAATCATTTTTCGGGAAACCGTCGCGATAATAAACCTTAATTGTGTCGTAAGCGTCCATTATCACAGAAATGAATAAACTTAAAACCACGTATATGTACAATGAAATGAAGGTGTATAAATAGATCCTAGAATACCACCATAGTATTGGCGATTTGAAAGACATTATAGTAAATGTGGCGAACATATCATCGCCGTTTATCAAAGCAAACAGACATTCAGAAGTCGTGGCGAGCGATCTGAACTTCATGTGATACGGGCCCAATATCAGCCAGCCGCAAAACGTAAAACCAGCGTAAATAAGAATCGCGCATATTAAATATCGTGCTACTTTCGGTGCGGCTGTTTTTAACGTTAAAATAACAACGTTATACGTTTTGAAGAAGCCGAGATATCGCAATACGCCGAACCAAACGAGTAAATTTCCAGTGCCAAGGAATATGCTACACACGTTCCAATGATCGCTACCAAACTGTTTCCGTTCAATTTGTTCTTTTACCGCCGAGCCAATGATAATTAACAGATCGTTCACGATAATCATTACATACCATAGATTCAGAAATTCTAATCTGCCCTCAAAACTCAACGATGTACCGTAAGTTTTCTTGAAGAAATTCATAGTTTCGAATTTAAGTAATTGCGCTCTGTATATGGCTCTTGAACACAAAGCAAGAGATACAGTGCAAATTAAAATTACGAGCAGATTCAGTAAAGTTCTTAGAATTGATTCAATGTGATTATGCACGATGTAACGCGTATCACCTTTACATTGTAATCTCGTTGGTTCAGCGTCTAATGAAAGCAACATCTGCCCGTCGAAATCACGATTGTCGAAAGTAATTTTTATATCAAATTGGTAACAGTCTGGTGGTGCCATTGGTCCGGCAGCTTTTAAGTTAATTGTTTTCAAGGCAAATTTTAAATGAGCTTTGACAAGAGCCGAGAAATTTACAACGATATTTTGGTCGAACAACAAACGCTTTGATGTACTAAATTGCTGGTAAAACTGATGAGTTATATTTATGCAAGTTTTCACGATTTCTTTGTCAAAAACGTAACTTTCATTGAAACCAAATATAACACCTTCCTTATATTGGTACAAGCATAAGACAACTGAACTTCTTGAATTATCTTCCTCAGTGTATGAATATGATCCAATAGCATTACTAAGATTATAGTACCCATTTAAAGCATAATCAATTGTGTTGAAGAAATCATCTTTCTTATAAATTGCCAAGGGACCTGTTGCTGGTGGATAAGTTGGTACCTGAGGATAAAAATTATTACATCTTTATATTGTCATACATATATTAATATGTGGTTTATACAATAAATAATATATGTTACCTCCTGAATAGCATCCCAACCTCTGAGAAACAGGTGTGAAAAAGCTATTCTATTATCCCAAGCATAATTCACATGCATGTAATTGTTATGAGCAAATAAGCACAACTGTACAGTGACTAACAGAATTTTGATAACTTGTACAGTAAATTTATATGGAAATCTACGCTTTGCTCGCCATTTTTCAATTGGATTCATGAAGAAGAATTTCAATTTTCTACGCATTTTTTCCTCAACAAACAGTGTCATATTGCACGCTGATGGATCATCATTTAGAGTTGATTGATGATGACTATAAAACAAAAAGATTTCAAGTTTGAATATTACTGATATATATACACAATATACTACCTAAGAATTATTTAATCATCTGATATTTGCAAGAGAATGATATAGAGTTGAATAATGAATCTCGAAGATACAACACTAACAATGAATGCAATACTTTATTGTGAATGATACACCAGTTAACAAAGAAAACTAGCATACTAATGCTTGTTACTGATTAAAGTAACAAGACAATAGAAGTAGGCCATAAAACTAATAATATCATCAAAATTCAATCAAGAATGATTGCGATAAACTTGCGAACCTTGGACTTATATTTTCGTTGAGTAGTCCATTCTCGCCACCCAGCTCGTCGTCGCTGTCAGGTCCATTACTCCACGAATGGTTCCTGAGAATATTACCTCTGGATTCTTCCCTTCTTTTCTGTGATTCCGACATTTTGTACGAATCGTACTATCAAGAAACAATGAAACGAACTGAAAATTGATGATCGAAGATATTCTATCCCGCGGAACTGTCGTTCCAGTTTCCGACGGACGATGGGACTCCCAGTTGTTCACATGCGTTGATCTGCTTAGCAACACAAGAAAGATTATCGAATGACATCAGTCTGTAACGCGTGATCGTGTTTTGTTCCGTGATAGAAAAATTATGTTTGCAACGTACTGGATTGTAATACGCAACGAAGGGCGATCGCAATGACTTTACGTTGTTAGCAACAGCCATCGCACGCCATCCAATTCACGTATCTAGCTCTACTGATCGGCGCGCTCCTTTGGCCGTTCTTTGAAACCAGATGATCACGTGATGGGGATAAATGGAAGGGAGGGCGCTAATTGTCAGTTGATCGTAGTGTCATGGCAAATGTTTGACGTCAAGTTTTGTGATAAACATTTTACAAGTGTGTGATTGATATCCTGTATAAAACCGAGGGTCACATGAAAGCGACAAATAAACGTGGAACGGTCGAGTACTTAAGATTGGTAAATCTATTGATAATTTCGTACAATCGTGGTAAAACATCGAATCCTTATGCGCATTACCATACAGTCTAGCGTTCCGTATCATTCCATGATTCATGTAGATAATCAAACATTTATTGCTCATTTATAATCATTGACATTTATTATTAGATACATTTAAATAGCGATGTGATAAGCATTGATACAATAAACATGTATTTACAACTGGTATTTCAGTTTGCTTGAGGCGGAAGCTGAGAGTACAATTTCCCGCGCATTCGGTAGCAAGCGTTGTAAACAAAATGGCGGCGCGGCGGTTTGAAGCTTCGCGGGCAGGAATGAAGTAATCAGTTACGAAAGGATAGTGAAACTTCAACGATGCAGTTGCACAAGAAAATAATTGGACAGTGTTCAAAGGTAAGCAAATAAGAATATTTTTCACTGTTACGAAACTAGAGACGCAATATTCATTGAGTGAAATTTGAAAGCAGTGAAGCATAGCCACAAAGTGAGATCAGCAGATGGAATTCGATCTAATCAATCTGGATCGAAAAAGGGAATGCAGTTGGTGATAGCAGGTGGATGAATCGCCTACACTGATGCAGTGACAACGAAATGGTGAGTCTCAGATAAAATACCTGTATACTACCGTAGTTTGGTTTAATACGTAAAAAGGAGAAATTATGATTCGCTTGAAAGTGGAATTTGGAGGTTAGAGGTTAGGATGCGTGTAGGAAATTTTTATGAAGATTACAGTATATAAAAGCTCCTAGTTTCCGTGTATTCTACATAGTTTCATACATGTAGAAAACGCAATTTTCTCTGTACATTATTTTATCTGACCGTCACTGATGACAAGGGGGTGGGTGCGCGCGTTTCTACGTTTGAGGATCGGCGCGCGTTCTCGTTGCACCTTCTGCGCCCGCGTATCGGGGCTTTGCAACACAGACGAACGGTGTGTCCTGCCGCGCGCGCCAAGTGCCTAGGAGAGGAAGCGCAGCGACGGAGCCGAGCTAAGCTCGGCCTTCCTCGACCGACCGTAGGCGCAGTCTCTCATCGTCAGTCTTTCTCGTCCCCAGCCCCGTGAGAGCACGCTTTCGGGGTCAGATCTATCTTACGAGTGTGTCCACCTCGACGCCAACCCTCAGCTGTCCCGGTCACCGACCTGACGGCCAGTCGGTTCTCGCTTTTAACGCGATATCCCTCACGTAACTGTGTTCAGTGTCTCGAAGTGTTTGGTCTGCGGTGTGCAGTCAATCAGTATCGTAGCACAGGCGGGAGTAAACAGAGCAGCATCAGTGTGCTCTTTCTCCCTTTTTCCCTCTCGTCCATTGTCCTCACGTTGGTACAAATAATCGTCAATCAACAGCCCGGTTATTTTTCTCGACTTACATCCCACGTTGATTAGAGTCGCATCGTGCGGCTACACGAGAGTTTGAACGAAAACTGCAGGAAGCATGGTGGATCAACAGCAGTCGGATCAGCAACAGGAAGCTGTGCCAAGCGTGGTGGAGTTGAACGTGGGCGGTGTATTTTACACAACTGCTTTAACCACCCTCACCCGGGAGAGCGATTCTCATCTGGCCGCATTGTTTTCGGGAAAAACGCCGGTCGAGAAGGATGCGAAGGGAAAGTATTTCCTGGACCGCGACGGTGTACTGTTCCGTTACGTGCTCGATTTCCTGCGCAATCAGGCACTCGTTCTGCCCGAAGGTTTCCGGGAGAAGGAACGGTTGAAACAGGAGGCGAATTTTTACGGTCTCCCCGGATTGGAACGTGCCATTATGGAGAACGGCAAGTCTTCCGGTTCCTTGACCTCGCCGGGAAAGAGAGCAGCCGGTCACATAACCGTCGGTTATCGCGGAAGCTTCGCGTTCGGCCGCGAAGGCCTGCCGGATGTCAAGTTCCGGAAACTATCGAGGATCCTCGTATGCGGTCGCGTTACTCTCTGCAGGGACGTGTTCGGAGAAACCTTGAACGAAAGCCGCGATCCGGATCACGGTGCTTCCGATCGTTACACATCCAGATTTTTCTTGAAGCACAGCTCGATCGAGCAAGCTTTCGATATGCTTCAAGAGCAAGGATTTAAGCTGGCCGGTAGTTGCGGCTCCGGCACAGCTGGCAGCAATTCGGAACAGCTGAAGCCCGGAATGGATTCCGAGGAGAATCGTTGGAATCATTACAACGAGTTTGTCTTTGTTCGCGATTAAATAGCATTCCTTCTTCCTCCTTGGTTTCGAATTAGCTAAACGAGCCGGTCGCTGGGAATAGTCGGTGTCATTTTATTCGATCGGCTCGACGAGATTCAATTCCAACAACCAAATGGAATTTCGGGATTATTTCGTCCGTCGAACGACAGACACGGGACAGCAATTCGCTATCCGAAGACTTTCCTTCTCGAACTGATCGTAACCGGTAGGGTAAAAAGTAGCGATGAATCTTTTTCGTCGAACATTGTGCATGTACTATTCAAACTCATCGAGCTAATAAAATGACGATGACACGTATTCCTCTATCAAGATATTCTTTGCTCGTTTCTTCCATCCGAACGGACCCGAAAGGATCGTTAACGAAAGGGACGTGACGTTGTATTTGGATGAAGTCAGATCGTAAACGAGGAGTCTTTGTTGAAATTAGCAGACTCCCCTCGAACACGTGCACTTTAACGCGGCGTTGAACAACGATCGAAGCACTTTCGTCGATGAAACAAAGACGAGTTCATCTTGCTTGATTCTGCGGTAATTGGCGGTGTTAAGAAGACCGAGAGACAACGGAAAGTTTGAAGAAGACGAAGCAAACGATACTGGATCGTCGCGACTTGAAGAGTTTGCTTTAATCTTCGACCAGTGTGAAGATTGTATTTCATCTGTAAAACGGAAATTTTAATGGTAACGTCTCGAAGAATATGAAGAAGATGTTGGATGATATGAAAAATCAACGTTTGATCGTCAAATTTAGAGGAAGTTTCAACGAAAGATCCTCGTTTTCTTATTCCTATTCAAATCTATTCATCACGCATCTACGTTTAACCGTTCGCTTGCTGAATATCGTATCATTCCAATTCGAATCGGGATAATTTCTCCGCGAAAATATGATCCAAACTTGGGCATCGAGAATCAAAGACTCGTTAGAAATACTGTCTACATTATTCGGAAGGATCTTCATAAAAAGGATACAAAATAAAATGCAGGATCTTTGCAATTTTTTCACTCGTAGCCGTAAATACGCAGGAAAGAAGAATACCATTAGAGGAGGAAATTTTAACCAGACCAAGTAGCGTAAAGCAATCGAGACGATTCATCGTTTGAACCAATGGTCATTTTCGAACAAAAAACAAAACGAAACAAAAAAAAAAACAAAACGGGTATAAAAGACGATCGAAGGATTTAGAATGAGAGAATTAATCAGGCTGTCTACCTGAAGTTTCTCTTCCGATAACGTAATTCATCTCTATCAATGCTATCGTAACGAGCAGCTGTAAGGAAGGAAGGAAGGACAGATTCAGGATTCAGCTTCAAACAACGCTGGCCGACTGTTCGAGGCTGAACTTGATATTGAACAGTTTGATTGTGTGCCACTGAAAACGAGCCTCCTGTGTGTACGTATCGTGTAACCAGTAGCTTGTGTGGACATACAAGCCAACACGGTGTTAAACACATGTCGAGCGATCCGAGTAACGCGTACGTCGAACGCCTCTGATAAGGCTTTCTTGATTTAGAGACTGTTCTTTATTTCCTAATCAATATACCTATAGAGAAGGATTTCAATTTTGGGCGAAAATATCGCGTTTGGTAGAAATAATTGAATTTAATAGGTCGTTGAAGGTTTCGCGCGTTTGAGCGCGTGTAGGTACATTCTCCTTAGTTGCTGATTGAAAATTAAATCGGTGTATAACGAAATTCTCGAATTAAGCGATGTTGAGAAGGTTTATCAGATAGAAAAGGAATAAAACGGAAGCGTCGACGATGCGACGGGAGGAATCGGATTTTTAGAAAGCGACTTCTAGTTACAATTAGACGACTAAAGGGTTCGAATCGTCGTTTATCGCTAAACGATTATCGTGTTGTTAAGATTCCATTGTCTCGATTTCAAAAGGTGCGGCCAAGATATAGATTTCCTATTAAGTAGAAACATATCGAATGATTGAACGTTTAAGTGCTCCAAGTTCCGACGATAAAGATAATTGCAGATAAATAGCGTTGTACAATAAGCGAGGTCGGCGAGCAACAGATAGGAAGACTTACCGAATTGTAGAGATGGTAGGTTCTTGTGAACTTTTCTGAAATGCTGGCAATTTTTCAAGATAAACGGGACGATGTCAAGACTAAACGCACGGTTCCTTTCGAGAAACTTCAAACATCCATATTCGAACGAAACCTTTGTATGAATTTTATTCGACCCGAGGAAACCTCTTGGCTTGTTTCTTTTTTTTTCTACTTTAAACTTAGCTCGCACGCTTCACCTGATAAAGTTTCCGCGTGACTGTTTTTCTCAGCTGCGAAACAACCTTATCTGTGTCTTACGCGATCGTAAACTCCTTTTTTTCCGGCACACTAGCTTTTATTAGACAGAATTATTTATCAGCTTGCCTGGTGTCCTTTTTTTTCTTCATTCGAACACCCCAGAATCGACTTGCAAAATATTTGGAGCGTTTCGAATCAAACGGAAAGAATAAAAGGCGGGGATCGATAGGATCGATGCGGCAAGATATTGAAAATCCTGTTGAATTTTTCAATTTCAACGAGATTCCATTTTCCACGCCATTCCTCAGTAGATTGCAGATAGCTCCGGTTTCCTTCCCTTTTTTTTTTTTTGAAATTTTTCACGGTATTTCCGCTGCCTGGACGTGCATGCATAAAACAAGGGGACGGAAGCGACTGGTATAATCCGATCGGTTCAAGGCGAGATCTTCTCGTCCGGAACAGTGAAATTCGGTAAGAGCAAAGCCGACCTTTAGTGCTCTGACGATCGTACGGTTCATCGATAACATGCTCGACGCGTCAAAGGGGCGAAAGGTACGGACGATCTAGGCGGGAATCGTTCGAATTCGCTGACAGAGGTATCGCCTCGTTGTATCGGCTATGGTCATTCTCGTTAATTCGCGTATACAGAATACAGGCTATGGATGTTTCCGAGATCGATCCGGGTACGTCGAAGGTTACTTAGGTGTCTCGGGAATCGTTTCCTTAAGACGACCTCTCGGAATCGCGAATTCGTGCCTCGCGACGGGGATGTTTGCTTAAACGACATAGCTCCAGGTGCACCGATAAATCCGACAATGAATATTATTTCATCAAACATTAGTTTTCCTAAGGTTCTAGTTGCGCAAAGTATTAGATTTGCAATTTTAGATAAACATTGCTGTAGATTATCCACTTTGATGTTCAATTTACCCAAACGATCCTTCGGTTCCATTCGATGCAAATTGTCAGGAATAGAGATCAATATATCGCGCGATTAGCACGGTGAACAGAGTTCGACAATGCTCGAAGCGGAATTCAAACAGGTTGATGGGCAAGCTACTTGCCACGAAATTCCCTGAATCATGCAAATCCACTTGGCCACATTCCTAAGCTCGGTGTACCTGGCGTCTCGGGTCGGATCAGGCTCGAAAGGATCTTCGGTTCCTTCAGTGGCCCCGATATTGTCGGCTACTCCGGATATCTCGCACGAACGCAGCCCAATTCCAGAAGTCGTTGCGATCGGGAACGAACGATCTAGGATATCGAGGCGCGATTCTCGGATCGATCAGAGGTTCATGATAATCCGCCACGCAGCGAAGAGCGGTCCTAATTCGTAGATTAGAAACGGTGCATCGCCTTTTCCATTCGCCGTAAAAGGAAACGAGTTTCGAACGAGCGTATTTAGTTATCCGAAGAAGGAACAACGCTGTAACCCTTTTAGGAAGGATTTGTTAAAAATCATCCTTCGTTACTTTATCGTTATTGGTAATTTGTAAAATTAGTTCCCGAAGCAAGAGGCGATGATAAATCATTATCACTCTAGCAAGTAAAAGGGGTGTTACTTTGAGCCTAAAAGGGTTAAACTACGTTACGAGCGTTTCTCTCGTCGCGTGTTCGAGCCACTCTTTTCCTTCTTTGACGAAATGGAATTCAGCGAGTAGAAAAGCGAGAAGTTGCGTGCACCCTCGGCGAACAAACGCGTTAAAACGCCAACCCTTCCGTCGGGCATGCTGCCAAGATTTTATTCCGAACCCTTCAACCGTGACCGAAGCGAATCGCTTTTCCCGTAGATTTTCCTCCCGTGAAATCTACCGAGTAAACTTCGTGCTGAGAATCTATTTGGGAAGCTATCAAATCGGAAACCTATTTGTTACCTCACCTCGTATATTTCTACGCCGGTGAGTCAGAAGATCGAGAATCTGAAAATTGAACAACGAGACTCGTACACTTTCATCAGCTGGATTATTGTTCGTTGATCTTCCATTTTCGTTTTGTTCGGCAACGTTTGCGTGAAATGAATTGAAATAACGACAAAAAATCGAGAGCCTCGTTGTTTGTTCTCTGCTTTCGCGTTTGCTCGACGCACGTGCAGGCGACTTTCTCAAAAGTGTTAGGTAGCGTGTAAGGTAAGATGCTACATCGTGAAGATACTGAATCATTGTACATGTATATACATAAATCGAAAGAGGAAAAATAAAAGGATGATACGACGTGCGGCTGGAATTATTTTTCCTTGGGGTTTGTCCTCCTTTCACCCTTCTTTTTTTGTTACCGGTAGAGGATTGAATGTAAGCCGGATCGTAAAATGGGTTAGATGATAAAGTAGTGTAGGTGCTCCATGCGTTGGGAAGTGATTTTGAGGGGGATGATACGAATACTTTTTCGCATTTTTCATCATAGTATTATTTTAATTAAAAGATAATTAACCTCCAGATTCAATTAATCGAATTCTTTATTACAGCGGAAACGTTATATGAAAATATAAAATTGTTATTTTATCAAACATAATTTCTCCTTGGTAGTTTAAATATCAATGTTTTAATTTTTAAATCTTGTTTCCACAAATCCAATGGTATAAAAATACTATTTTATATATCAGATATTCAGTATTTATTTTTCAATATTGGGTTTGTAAATTGAGGACAATTTATTTTTGTTTTAATCCACGTTCATAACTCAAAAAGTGACACATGAAATCTTTGTCAATTATCACCATTGAGCAGCCCTGATATATCTCTTCATTGCAATAATATTTACACCGATAAAACGGTGAACGAAAAACCCAAAAATTATCTTTGAATTAAATGCAAAATATTTATAAATCGTTACACAATCATCGAATGTTCAATATCGCTTTATTATAAATTTATTAACAATGAGTTAGCGTTATTCGTTTCTACTTTTCCAAGAGTCTATGCATTTTCTATCGCGAATAGACAGTCGAAGGCGATGATTTGTCTCGTAGCCAGTGGATATGACAGGGTGGTAATGATGATACGTATTCCCGTGGGTCGCGGGGGTGAAATATTTCCCCCGGAGGAGAAGTTTCCCCTTGAAAGAGGAGATTGCACGTTAACGAACGTCAGCCGAAGATGTCGGATGTAAACTCGATTGGCCGCTTGAATGAAACGCGTCAGCCACGGATAGATTTTCTGAAACCGTTGCTTCGAATTACGGGAAGCAATCTGTTGCTTAGTCTCCATTCATCTGTCGACCGTGCCAAGAGGGAAATAAATATTATCGACGTAAATGGCGCGGAAGCTAGGATCCTTAACAACGATCATTAACAGTGCATTGTATCCGCCGAGGTATATTTCCGTTTTGCCATCGAAACGTATCGCTTCTCTGTTAAACAAAAGGTGTCCTCTTTTGTATACGCGTTCGTTGAACCAGATAATAGGATGATGCTTCTTCGAGAGGTACCCTTCATAATACAATTCGTTTAAACGTTTCATCAAACGACATTAAAGTTTTGCAACGATAGGGGTATACGATCATATCTTCCACGTGTTAACTGAAAATTTTGTACAAAAGGCGCAGAAACGGCTGATTTTAACCAATTCCATCAGCGATTCATAGTCACGATCCCCATCAACCATCCACCTATCAGATTTATGACCGTAATATCCCCGAGACTTGTTTCCAGCAAGATTTTACGCTGATACAACAGACCGACTGAATTAGCAAGTCAGAAAGGTGTAATATAAAAGGAGCATAAATTTCTATAACAGAAATGAAAAACAGAAGGGAAATTGATTTTGTCGACTGGTCGATTCGAGTTTCTCCCTTTAAGTTTTCATAAGTGATATTTATCGTATCGAGTGGTCCGTAAATATTTGATTAACCCTTAATTGGGTATGATCTTATCGACGATTCGCTGCACATTCGTTTCCGCAATTACGCAAATCG